TGGAAATTTGGTCACATGGCTCAACAATGCACTAATGCAAATGTTGTTTGTCCAAAATGCAGTGGAAACCATAAACAAGAGGAGTGTACAAGTGACGTCAATGTATGCGTTAATTGTAAATATGCTTTGGATGTTCTAAAACTACAAGTGCGTTATGACCACACAGCATACAATAGAAATTGTGAAGATTACAAAAGAATATTTGAACAGCTTCAAATGAGAGTAGCCTATCCCCAATTACATGTGAATAAACAAAGCAAATAGCAATTATGTATTACTATAATGTACCTTAACATTAACAGTTACACAGCACATTCAACGGAGCTCAAGTGGGTGATAAATAAATGGAGACCAATAGTAGTTTGCCTTGTAGAAACGCATATAACACCAGAAATTAGTGCAAACGAAATTGACATCGAAGGGTATAAAGGTATCCATACATTCTCTTCAAGCCGTCACACTGGAGGGGCATCGATATATGTAAAAGAAGAATCAAAGTTCAGAAAAACAGTTGATCTGGTGGTAGAAAAAAATATGTGGCTCAGTGGAATTTATATAAAGTTGAATAACACACATTACAACATACTCAGCATGTACCACTCGCCAAATTCAAGTCACAGTGAACTTTTATCTCAATTAGAAGATATATTAGTAGAATATGCCATAAAGCCAGAAACTCTTTTGATGATAGGTGACTATAATATAGATCTTTCCGATGATACATTTTATTCAAGAAAATTGAGAGATGTTATTGATCGAAATGGACTTTACCAACTAGTGCAACAATCTACAAGAATTACATCACAAAGTGCAACAAAAATAGATCTTACAATTACTAATGACAATCAAATTGTACATAATGTGCACTACACACGAAAAATAGCTGACCATTCCATTATAACAATCAACATCACAGAAGTTTCAACATATGAAAAGAGGATTTCTTTTCGTGATACCAAAAACTTTAATGAGTTGCAGTTCCAGCTAGACTTACTTGATTGCAATTGGTCCAAAGATTTATACATCCTAGACGACAAGGCAAATTTCTTGGTGAAAACCCTTACTGAAATAGTTGATTCACATGCTCCTATAGTGGTGAAAGAAATAAATTGTAAATGGGGAAATAAAATGTGGTGGACAGTTGAACTGGACAATATCATAACAGAAAGAGACAGGAGGTACAAAAGAGCAATAATTACACAAGCAGAGGATGACTGGGAATTATACAAAGAGCAAAGAAATTTAGCAGTTAAAAAAATAAGAGAACAAAAGAGATACTTTTACCAAGAAAAAATTGATGAATCGAGAGGAGACTCTAGAGAAATGTGGAAAACCTTGAAGAGTATAATTGGTTCTAGGAGCAAGTTTAAGGCAATAGATGGTATCATGTTTGATGGCAAACTGATAACAGACAGTCTCGAAATCGCCAATAGTTTCACTTCTATAGAGAGCATAAATGAGCTAAGTACTATACCTGATCCAACAGAATGTGACAGAATGCTTGACAGTATAGTAACACCTCCTAAAAAATTCACAGAGTTCAAGATATTACAGATATCAGAACTTAGGAAAATTGTGAATGATCTGAAAAACAAAAAAGTAGCACTGATGGAATAAACACAAAGATATTGAAGCTCTCATTTGAAGCCATTGGCAATCGTTGCTTGGATGTAATAAACCAAAGCTTACAAACTGGGTCATTTCCAAGTGAATGGAAAATGTCAACTATTATTCTCATAGAAAAAGTTAGTGGAACTATTCAGTGTGAAAAACATAGACCAATTAATATGGTATCAGCATATGAAAAACTTCTACGGCAGTTAATATCCAGGTTCGAGATTATGTGAATGCAAGCAATATTATTACAAACAGTCAAGCAGGTTTCCAAAGTGGTCACTCATGTGAAAGTGCTCTACAGTCAGTGATATCTAGCTGGAAATCTTCATTAGACAACAAAGAAATGGTGGGCGTGGTTTTCTTGGACTTTCGCAGAGCATTTGAAACTGTTAACAGAGAATTACTAATTAGGAAGATACAAAGGTATGGCTTTCAAGGTAAAGTCCTAGGTTGGTTTTCACAATACTTGGAAATGAGATCTCAAAAAACCAAATATTTAGAATCATTATCTGAATCTAAGATCAATGTACATGGTGTTCCACAGGGTACTGTGCTGGGCCCAGAATTGTTTTTGTTGTACATAAATGACATTGTTAATGTAATTAAGAACTGTGAAATTCAGCTCTTTGCAGATGACACTATGCTTTTTGTTAAGGGTGATTCAGTGGATGATATAATAAACTTTTTTAAATGAAGATTTAAATAATATATATAAATGGTTAAACAATAATAGTTTAAGTGTGAATGTAAATAAAACTAAATGTATGATATTGAAATCTAAGCATAATGTAACTAACACATACAATAACAAAGGTATAGTAATTAATGGTAGTAGACTAGATCAAGTTGATGAATGTAAATATTTAGGAATAATTATAGATGAAAATTTAACGTTTTCAAAACATGCAATTCATATAACCAAAAAGCTATCAAAGAAAGTGAATTTATTATGTAGCATGGGGAAAGACCTGAGTATCTGGGCTAAATTAATTATATATAAGACGATAATCCTACCACATTTCAGTTACTGTGCAACAATCTTGTATATGTTTAAGAAAAGTGATATTGATATTATTCAAAAAAAACAAAACCAGGCATTGAGAAGTATTTTGGGATGGGGAAGATACGGTAGAATTAAAGACATGCTGACATCTACAAATTTATAAGTGTTATCCAGGAGATCTTTTATAACACTATGGTGGTAGTATACAAAATAAGGAATAGAATGTACCTACCCAGAGCATATTATTAATAAATTAAAAATGGTCAGCGATATACATAGTTATAATGTTAGATCTAATTCCAACTTTTATGTGTCTCGGGTACAATCTTCCTTTGCCAAAAACAGATTATTTTATAAGGGCCTTGTAGATTTTAATAGGATTCCAGAAGAAATTAAAACTACAAATTTTGTTAACTTCAAAAGGCATTTAAAAAAATATGTAATAGAAAATTGTAGTTTGTAAGTTTATATCCAAATGTTTTCTCTGTTAGCACATTGCTATGAAATAAAGATCATCATCAAATTCTGTGTTGCACGTCTTCAAAACATTCTGAAGTCTGATTTTCTTTTCAGATTCTAGAATTTGATTAAAAGAAATATGATAATTACATCCAGATAGATATCGATATCTACCAAACCTCTTTTCCAAATTATATGTTTGAAATTTCCCACAAAGTACATACTCAACTGGAAAGTGTTCAAAAAAATAGTCTACAATTTTAATCATAACACTTGTACTATGTTTCAATGCATTGTGTGTATCTTTACTGAGTCCAACGTTTTGAATATTTTGATGCCACGCATCCAACCAATTTAAAAATTTCCTCAAAAATTTAATATTTTCATTGTGAAATGGAATGATGGGACACGAGTGATCATCTCTTTTATGCGTACCCTTTAAAGTATTTTTTACATTTATGATACTCCACCAATCATGCACTATTTGTAGAAAATTTGCTGTGCTGCTGTAACTACTGCAAGTTTTAAGGGCAGCGATTGTGGATTCATGGAAAACATTATTTGCCAAAACTACACTTTGTCTTTCTAAATTATTGGGGTATAATGTTTTATCATTTAATTTGTAGCCAACTTAGTTAATTTTTCTATTTCATTCTTATAAATAGTTCTAATATTTTCAAATGAAGCTTTTTCTTGAACATCAAAATTATTATAATTTGGATACAGAAATGTATGCTCAAAATTTTTCAAATTCAACCAGTTATGATATATATTTTTAAATATGTGGACAAAATCAAATAGTGTAAAAATTTAACTTTACCTTGAAAGCCATACCTTTGTAACTTCCTAATTAGTAATTCTCTGTTAACAGTTTCAATGCTCTGCGAAAGTCCAAGAAAACCACGCCCACCATTTCTTTGTTGTCTAATGAAGATTTCCAGTTAGATGTCACTGACTGTAGAGCACTTTCACATGAGTGACCACTTTGGAAACGTGCTTGACAGTTTGTAATAATATTGCTTGCATTCACATAATCTCGAACCTGGATATTAACTGCCGTTTCTAGAAGTTTTTCATATGCTGGTACCATATTAATTGGTCTATGTTCTTCACACTGAATAGTTCCACTAACTTTTTCTATGGGAATAATAGTTGACATTTTCCATTCACTTGGAAATGACCCCGTTTGTAAGCTTTGGTTTATTACATCCAAGAAACGATTGCCAATGGCTACAAATGCGAGCTTCAATATCTTTGTATTTATTCCATCAGTGCTACTTTTTTTGTTTTTCAGATCATTCACAATTTTCCTAAGTTCTGATATCTGTAATAGCTTGAACTCTGTGAATTTTTTAGGTGGTGTTACTATACTGTCAAGCATTCTGTCACATTCTGTTGGATCAGGTATAGTACTTAGCTCACCAAGAGCAAAGGTCCAACGGACCACTCTGACAGACAATGACGAATAGTATATAGTACTTAGCTCATTTATGCTCTCTATATAGAAGTGATTGAAACTATTGGCGATTTCGAGACTGTCTGTTATCAGTTTGCCATCAAACATGATACCATCTATTGCCTTAAACTTGCTCCTAGAACCAATTATACTCTTCAAGGTTTTCCACATTTCTCTAGTCTCCTCTCGATTCATCAATTTTTTCTTGCTAAAGGTATCTCTTTTGTTCTCTTGTTTTTTTAACTGCTAACTTTCTTTGCTTTTTGTATAAGTCCCAGTCATCCTCTGCTTGTGTAATTATTGCTCTTTTGTACCTCCTGTCTCTTTCTATTATGATATTGTCCAGTTCAACTGTCCAACACATTTTATTTCCCCATTTACAATTTATTTCTTTCACCAATATTAGCATGTGAATCAACTATTTCAGTAAGGGTTTTCACCAAGAAATTTGCCTTGTCGTCTAGGATGTATAAATCTTTGGGCCAATTGCAATCAAGTAAGTCTAGCTGGAACTGCAATTCATTTAAGTTTTTGGTATCACGAAAAGAAATCCTCTTACTGTACTGCTGTAAACCAGTTTTTACATAAATTTCATCAATTAGAAGGCATACAATTTTTTCTCTATCAGAGAGATTTGAAGCTGCATGTTGAAGGTAACTATTTTTTCTCTCTTTGTCTAAAATTGGTGAAACATTAAACTCTGAAGAAATTTGCTTTAAACGTCTACTCGTAGGGAGAATTAAATAATCTCTAATATGTAATATGTTCATATGTTGAAGATGACTGATTGAAAATAATCAATGAAACAATTAAAGTCGGCATATTATATACCTTTTTCGATGTAATGAGAGAAAGCTGGTCCCTTAAAAGTTCTAAAGTTGTGAGATGTATACTGTTTTGTTGATTTAAGATTGCAATTGCTGATATCAGATGTTCATATGCCTTTTTCAAATGAAAAGTACCATCCAAGTCAGTATGCTGAGCAAAACTATACCTTGTCAATAAATTTTCAATCTGTGACTATCTTTGAAGCTTCCGCTCTGGTAAAATCCACCTTAAGTCATTAGGAGATAATTCCGTGTTATGGAGGAATACTTGCACAGTCATGTCAGAATGAATGACTATACTAGTGATAACCTTAACACCTTCCTCTAACACATCACAGTCAGCATTTAACAAATAAAAATAAAACCCTTCACCACAATTTTTCAAGCACTAGTTTTTCAGCACTGTTTTTGTCTGCACAAGTAATTTGAATTCATCAAAGTCTACAATCAAGTCATCATTTAAAAATGCCTCAATTTGATCAGTTTCTCTTTGGATGCATTCTTTTTGTCGTTCCTCTGGATCTCGACGTGCATTCGGCTCGGGAGTACTCATATATTTTGGTAAATTTGCAAATATATGGGGTACAGCTCCTCTTTTTAATGTTGGCCGTGCTAGAGGGCGTTCTTGAAAAACACTATCTTGTCCTTAAACACCCCAAAGCGCCTTATTTCACCTTCTGTAAAATGCTTGCAGCATACCACTGAATGTTTTGTTATGGAATAGTAGTCACGGTGAATGGCCTTCAGCCTTAACTTTTGAAGGGATTCTTCATTGGGAAAACAAAAAGTTGTTTGTAATTCTTCATTTTTCAGGGTACTTTTATAATTAGATTTGCAGCCTGGCACGCAAGATAACCTAGGCATCTGATAATGAAAAAAATACTATATAAATTTTGTTCTTGGTTCAAATAACACGTTATAGGTTCTTGAAATTATTATATCTGATGAAATGCAGTACTGTATTAATTTATACATACATTCAAACAATTATGAGGAGCTGACTGAAAACAGATCTTTACAAATCTACAGCGTACAAATCAATTCACGTGCGGTCCAAATCACAATCACAAATGGAGCAAAACCTAGGGATGCCCACGATGTATCGATGTATCGAAAGTATCGATATTTTTGTTTCGATTTTCGATGATTTTGCATCGATATTTTTGTTCCGATGTATCGAAGTACTGCCTATAGATGTATCGAATCGCTTCACTATATCTAACAAAAAAAAGGAACATTGGCAACAATGCTTTGATGCCCTGCGTTCGGGGAATCCCATTTTTTTAACCAACACTGCAGAATTGTGCCGACTTGTAAACAGTTTTTTAGTGTTGTTTTGAAGGAGGTAATGTAACGTTATTTTCGAACGGTGCTGTTCAATATTCGTATTTGTGTCTGTTCTACATTGAAATAACTAATAATTACATACTCTACAAGTAAGTACTTATTTGTCTTTACAAATTTGAATCATGTTGCGAACGCTTGTCGCAAACTTATTATTAATCAAAATTAGCATCGTATAAAACAAAAAACATTTTTATCTTTTTTTAAGCTCAAAATGGCACCTCCAAAAAGCAACGTTTGGCGACATTTCTCAAAAAAATCAGCAAATACTGCCACTTGCCGTTACTGTTCTAAAATTCTAAAAACTTCTGGAAATACTACGAATTTATTGCTGCATCTTGATCGCCTGCATAAAAATATTAATCCAACTAAGCCAGTGGACTCTAAAAAAGAACCTGCAGGTACATGTACTGCCTCCAAAAGCAATTACTACGATGACGATGTATTACCAGGGCCATCCAGAGCAAGATCTCGATCTCCTTCGCCAGTAAGTTCAGAACAAAGTTCATCTTCATCTTTCACAGTTGCCCCAAAGCGTCAAAAAACCATGACAGATTCGTTTGAGTATATACGATCGTTTTCAGAAGGTGGCAATAAAAATCGTCAAATAAAGGAATCGATTTTATATATGATATGTAAAGATTTACAACCATTTTCTTTTGTTGAAAATGAAGGCTTCCTGAATTTGATGAAGGTAACTGTTCCTCAATTTAAAGTACCAAATAGAACTAGCTTTACTCGACTTTTGGACCACAAATATGATTGTGTAGCTGCGAATGTTGAGTAAAACAAAGAATATTACACTAACCACGAACGTGTGGACTGATACGATGCAGACGCGAAGCTTTTTAGGCCTTACAGTACACTATTGCTCTGATAATGAAACAGAACTAGCATCAAGTACTTTGGGTGTAATCGAGCTTCAAGAACGACATACGGGACAATATTTAGCTGATGAATTAGTAAACATCTGCAGAATGTGGAATATAAAAAAAGATAATATTTCAGCAACCTCCGTACCTTCTGAACGTCTTTTCTCTAAGGCAGGGCAAACACTGACACAAACGAGAAATCGTCTGAAAGGAAAAAGACTTTCAAAGTTATTATTTTTAAATAGTGTTAATAAGAAGTTTTGGAATGTGTAAATTAATTTGTTTTTATTTTATGTTGCAGTTCATTTTTTATATGGATTTAGGATTATATGTTTAGAGTAATCTGTAATCTAATGTATAACTATATTCCAAAAGTATATTTTTAAATAAAATGAGTCTCCTTTATAATAGACTTTTTACTTTAATATTTAATGACTAGTTTTTCCAAAAATGATTTGAATTATAATTATTTACTTTACTAATCAAAACTAGCAAAATTCGCTGATTCGATACATCATTTGATACCAGTATCGATGTTTTTTCAATTTTGGGCATCCCTAGCAAAACCACAGCAAAACACAAACTACGAGCAAAATGGACGAGATTGGCGATAGAGGATAGACCCACACACGCCGTTGCCAGATGTATGCTTCATGGCTTTCAGTGAAGGAGGCTGTGGTTATGCTTACCACAGATGTTCACGAGTATCCATCACGGGAGAATGACAGCTGATTGTCTAGTAATATCTCAAAATTCCCGCATGGGCACAAGACACATAATTCTGACGGATCCGTCACAACAGGTAGTCAGAGCCGTATTTTGGTTGGTTTTTTGTATGCTACAGATTCATTTTGTACTTGCTAACATCTCTTTTATTTAGAAAAGTTCATTTGCACACAAAAAACAAAACGCTACACACAAGTTTTACTAGATTTACACCCGACTCATTATTGCCAATGTCGCAGACTTACACAAAAATGTCACTTGCTCATCATCTGGTTCACTTCATACCCGTCAAACCTGTGTCACAGATTATCCCATGATCCATGATTATCCTGTGTTAAATCATAATTATGTTTTGTGTGTTAAGCGACTGTCAGCCTCTTCACTGACACCAGCACGACACCAGTGACACCTTGCATTTGTACACAAAAGAGATTTTGAAAAAGTTTAAGTGGAACACCTCCAAAGGATTTTGTGTTACGTCTCTTTAGTCTTAAAACATGTTAATTAAAGCCCAATCTACCGACAGAAATATTTTTTTAAACTGGTCGTAAGCATTGAAAATCCATAGATATAGAAGACTGAAAAATATGCAATTTTAATATAAAATCATCCATTAATTGTAAAAACGTGTTATATTCTTGTATATCATACATAGCTTAATTATGGAATTAGAGAAGAAGATATACGTAGAAGGTGGAAGTATCATGGACTATTGCTTAATATGCCTAAAAAGAAATAAAGATTTGTACAAACTAGATGACTATCCAAAATGTAAACTGTTTTTAGCAGATCATTTCAGTCTAGAGGTATGTTCAGGTTTTAAAATCTACAGATATTTTTTGCATTATCATTCTTTCAGTTTAATACCAATGCTTTTGGACAGTTGCCTCTTTCGCTGTGTACAGACTGTAATGGAAAACTAAGTAATTGTTGTGAATTCTTTGATCAAATAAGGAAGAGTTTAGCTTTTTGGCAAAGCTACAGCATAAACTCGGGAATGAAGGTATGAATCCCTTATACATATTTATATTATGATTATTTCATATGCTTAAACATAATGAACAAGAAACTTATTTGTTGAAATAGATGGATGTTAATTTAGTTCATCATGATGAAAGCATAAACAACATAATGAGGTCTTTTCCAAAATGTTTATTTTTATTGGATATATAACAGCTATCACTAAAGATTTTCCATACCCTTTCAAGGCAATTTCCTTAGAATGTGACACTAATACAGATTCCTTATTTTTTTTTATCCTGTAGCACATTTTTACACAAATGTGAAGGGTAAATATAATAATGTTAAGGTTGGATCACGCAATTTGTATTATTTTCCAAAACAGAATAATTAAATTATGTTGTTATAGCAGAATGAACATTCAGACTGTGAAGACATTGAAGATGAAAATTCTGATGATGATGATGAGAACCCTGAAGACTGGGATAACAATAAAGAATCCATTAAAAAGGAAGAATTGTCAGAGGAAGATAAAAAACTTGTACAGGACACTATCAGTGAATATAAGCAAAAATTTCATATGAAACAGGACTGCAGCTTCTGTGGATTTGTGGCAGAAAGCAGGAGAGTGCTCAGTGCTCATATGGCTACATCTCACAGGTGCATAAATCAAAACAAAATTTATTATATCTACAAGACTTTGCTTCTACCTATATGGTTACATTGAAACTGTTGACTAAAAGTAATCATACACAAATAAAGAATGCATCCCCAGATCCAGACAAAACAGAAGTATGATGACCCATGTTCAATCAAAACTTTGTGTAATATGCCAGGTGATTCAAATCAGTGGCATATCCAGAAAAACGTTCTGGTGGGCAGGGACTCGATCCACCCTGGGGGGCTGAAATTTCACAAGAGGCTGCTGTAATATTCTAAGGAAAATGTATTAGGCCAAGGGGTTTCATGGAGGGGCTGCTTGAGCCTCAAAGACTCCCCCCAATATGCCAGTGTGTTTCAAATTCATCATCATTGGGAACTTGGGAACAGTTGAGAGATACAAAAATCAAATTCAAGCGGATTAGCAAATGAAAATGGTATTTACCATTTTGGATTGGTATCTCCGATCTGTTCAAGCGAGTGTGGTTATCAGTTTGGTTATAAGATACGTGATGTGATTAATCAGCTGTTATATGTCATAGTTATCACCGCAAAATTGTGGTATTTACCCAACTCAGGAGTAGTTTTATATTTCTGGTTATTATTTGACATGTGACAAGTTAGAATTTTGCCAGGTATTGGATAGTTTTATTGTACTTCAGCTTCATTTTTGGGAAACTTGGTACAGGCTGACTTCAGTTTTAGCATAAGAGAGCACCTTATTAGTTATAATCATTACTGTTGTTGGGGACACTTTAAATCTAGTTCCTACGCTTATCAAGGTAAATAGAATATTAAAATATGGCCATATAAACTCACTGGATGATGTCCACCTGTATACGGTTTTGTTAATATCTTTTTTTCATCGCTTTTTCATCATTTCTGCTAAATCAATAAATATTTTCTTTGACTTGCGGAAAAGTTTAGAGAATTGAAAGTTATCATAGCTACTAAGCCATGGTTCCATCAATAAAAAATGTTTTCTGTACAAAATACATTCCTCTCATTAATATTATGAAAGGTTTCTTTTTTCAACTTTCCATACCCCGTTGTAGACGAAAAAGCACCGATTATTAAGTGATAATAAAAATAATCAGAAATTATATACGCGCTTTTCTAAAATAAACAACTTAAAACAAACCGCGCATAAAACCAACGCGTTCAAGCGATTCGAGTAACTGACGTCATCTTCCCGTGTGTCATCTTGAACCATATTATAACCGCGGTACATAATACGGAAATTTTGGTTATTCGCTTGGATTTGATTAATGTCGGTTAAATAAACTATGAAATTGACATTTATGAAATTTTGTAATTCAGGTTATTTCTGGAGACAAATGGGAAAAACAGATTTTCCCAAAATCATTTTTATTTTTCCCTGACTATGCCAAAGAAGTATCATTATGAACTGTATTTGAAGAAGGCTCGTGTGGTGGCTGAAACTTCGTCAGTAAAATGTATCTCAATCATATATGTGGTTTCATTAAACAGCCAGACAAACAAAGCCCTATCAGCATTAAAACCACAGGATAAGTTTCAGGTGTTATATTAACCATATACATGTGGCTGACCAATGGTCAAATTATTTTAATGTCTAACCATGCTTCTCAAAAACTGCAGCAATTTTTAATTGGTGATGTTATCAAATAAACATGTGATAAGCTGTGACAACTATGAAAATATTTGTTATATATTTTGTTGTTGAATTGAAACCTCCACTGACCTTTGCAAAAATTAAGTATGGTGTCCATAAGAAAAATTGATGATTGATTGAGTGTAAGAGAAGAAACGACATTTTCATATGACGTTTCATCCATATTGAAATTCTAATTATGCCACCTTGTAGACAATGTCTATTTTGAAATCCCGCCATAATACAAGTCAGAAAAAATAAAAACGATTCTGGAAAATGTAGATTTTTTTCGTAGATCTCCAGAAATACTCCGAATTGGGAAACTTTCTAGGTACCAACCTTTTTCTTAGTTAACCTAAATGCACAACTTTGGCCCAATTTAACCAACTTCGTATCTCTTTCTGTTTTAGAGATCACGGTCAAACACGTTAATGAACGTTAAATACCGGACAATGCTAATAATTTATCATTTTAACATCTTTGTCAGATCAGTGACGATAATGACCAAGAAGGACTGTATGATGGTGATATAAACGCAAACATATTACGATATCTGCAGTTCGTTAAAACCAGAAAAAATATTGCTTTTAGTTTCTCCAACATCAACGGTTTCCGTAAATTGGCGGAGTATTCCATGGGATACAGTAATGGATTGAATAGTAAAGTAGCTCTACATTTCACTTAATCATCTATCGGTCGCTGATTAACAAGCCTTAACATCATTTCTCTTGCCAATGATATTTACAGCGCGCTTGTATTGTTTGTACCAGGATTGCCGATCTTGGCATGGCATTATCAATCTTGACTGAACACCGTTATAGCCTGGTTTCTCGTCTTCTCGAAAAAGCACGATGTCGAATATGGCAAACTGTGTGTCAAAAATATATGTATTTTGCGATTTGTAGCAAGTTATATACTTGGTGATTCTAATACATCAGGCAAAAACTTATTTTCCTATCAAGACCATCATGGAAGGCTGCAACTGGTCAGCATGCGGTTAAAATTTCGTTGAAATATACAATGATGTTAAGAAGTTATTAAAAAAAACGGATTTCTTCTAATGGCGTGGCCACCCCTGAGAATCCGGTTGGACCATAAAACTTGCATATTTGCAAAACAATTTGAGGGATTTTTAGGATGTGAAAATTTTGTTACCCTCCGCTCTCAAAAAGTTTTGAGGGCAGGTACATTTTCTCAAAAAATTATCTCTAACCGATTCATCCCCGAGAAAAATTCCTGCGGGCGTCCATGACCTGAGATGACATGACAAGTCTTCATGCTAGGTGGGCAGTACCTTGTAGATGGAACTCTCAAGAATGAGCTATGGTTGACTAATATTACTGACAACATATTGCCATCAAGGATTAAGGACTGGGAATTTGCATTGATTGGTGTTTATTGTTTTAGTGATAAGAAAAATAGTTGGTGCCCAGAATGTAATGTTATTTATGAAAATATAATTGATCATAGGAAGATTCACCAAAAGAATGTCTGTCCTCTTTGTTACAAGGAGTTCCATTCAAATCACTATTTGGAACATCTTCAAGGCCATACAGGTAACTTCTTGACAAGAGCGTAACATGTTTTAACAAAAATCACATATTCCTCACGATTGTTTGTAAATATATTTCAAAGTTTTAGGCAACATTCCTTTACGATGCTATTTTGCCAGATAAGTCATGACTGTAGTGACAAAATAATGTGATTAATGTTCGGTTTTTCAATCGCCGGTCAAGTATTGCTGTTAACTGGAACTTTTATCCTGAAATGGTAGTTGACATTGACTTGACGATCAGCCATGGGTTAAAGTGTTTTCACTTTTTTTCTATGAACAAGTTATAAATTTTGCCGTCCAATGTTCAAATATAAAATTTCACGCCAAGGCTGTGACGAATAAGTTCTGGTACGATAATACTGCAATGTAGTTAAACTGCAGTGTCTATACTGTTTTGCTTAAATAGTGACAACGCACAAAACATGATATCTGCGTTCGATCTAGCGTTCTCACAATAACTATATGAGTTTCCTAACCAGACGTAAATGTTAAATTTAAAGAATTGCGCCTAAGTCATTGGGGTTGAGGAAGATTACTTATATTTTTATTGATTATCGTATTACACCATTTATAAATATAATGCAGTCATAAAGTATGAATATTTCAGATAAGTACAAATGTAAGTATTGCAGTTTAAGTTGTGCAGCAGCTACAAGCCTAAAGAAACACATGTTAGTCCATTTGAAGCAGGATCCATATCAGTGTCCAAACTGCGACAAGACATATAAGCATCCAAGTTCCTTTAGTTATCATTTGAAGAAACATGGTCAGTTCACTTGTATAAATTGTGAGAAACATTTTGTGACTGAAAGGGAACTAATTACGCACCAGTGTGTTTCAAATAAGATGGCTTCAGAAGATAGTGAAAAAAAATTGTATAGCATTCACAATCAGAGGATCAAAGATGAACAGCAGTTATGCGATCGTGATAAAGAAATGTAAGTAGCATTATGTCTGAAATTATGCACTTCTCTTTAAAACCCCTGTATTTGTTGGCGGAGAAATTAGTACATATGATTCTTTATTCCGGGCACCAATAAAAAGTGACATTCATTTTATGTGAGATTTCAGTCCCAGGAAATGTAAGTTATTTTTCTCACATCTGATGGAAGTCCAATCCCTATGGAGAAAGCAGGGTTGGTTACGTTCTAAGGACAAAGTGTAAAAAACATGTCGGATAGAACATATTACATTATAAATTTAGTTAGACAATAGACAAGCATGGTGTACCACTCAGTCATTAAATGTTGATATATTTAAGCATTCCCATGCCTTTGCATATTAATCTAGTGCTTGAATCAGAGTGAAGAGAAGCATTATGGGATATTATGCATACAGAATCTGCTGAAAGTAAGACTATTTTTTCAGACGGGATCTCTATAATAACACTTTTTGCATAAACTGCAATAAGAGGGTGAAAAATCTCGATAAACACAATGCTAATATTCATAACATGAATGGAAAACCAGAAGTAAAGAAAAAAAAAGTGGATCTGAAATGTGGATATTGTGAGAAAGTATTTCTGTAAGTCTTTTTATTGTAAGGAAATTTGTACAAATTGTACTAATGTATTTAAATAAGAATAGCGTCTTGGTGACTACAAGTGCATGTAAGACATTGTCATATACCAGGTACAAGTAAAATTGTCACACATACGTTGCATGATATTTTGAAGACCAGTTAAATGATTTGGAAATGTGCAATTTTGTGCCCTTATGGGCCCACCACCAGGCTCCTCCACCTCGTAAAGTTAAAACCAGTTCAGCGTAAACCCGTTTACATTTTATCTACCACAATAGAACCATGGTTCAAAATGCAGTTTATTTCAAAGTTATATACAGAGCTGAACCTAACTCTTGGCTTATCGAAAGCTTGATGCAAAGAAGTTTAGTTCTGGTTTAAAGATAATATTTTTGGTATGGGTTTGCCTGAAATCACAACTAAAAGCTCCCATTTGAAAATTATATCTACTGCTGCTTACATTATATTACAGCATCGTCTTGATCAGGCTTACCTAAGTCGTCACATGACCAATAAACAATACACTACTACTTTTAATATAGCCAATTTATGCCAAGAAACCTTACCTTTGAACTTTAATCAACTCATTTGCGACAGGCTGTCGCAAAGCGACCCTAGTCGTTTTACTCTATCGAACTTTGATATAAACTGAAATGGAGGCGTAGGTTTGTTAGAATCCAACTGAAGTCAATTTTATGTTTTTTAAACAATATCGGGCGACACGGAATCATTAATAGAAATGTGAGTTTCTATAGAAATAAAGTTGAAAGTGGTGGAATAATGAACCCTTGTTCTGTTTTTAAAGTTTTATTTTTTATAAGTTGCAGCGACGGCTTTATTGCGATGTAGGATCGAGACATGTTAAAAATAGATAAAATGTGATGATTAAATCAATATTAATTCTATTTGTTACATTTCATTTTTTTAATCAATTTTCTGTGATTTTACATTCTTAGATATTAAAATTACATCTTGCTCTGCATTTTGATCATTGACTTATAGCTTTGGAGCGTAAGACCATCAGGATATAAAACAGACAATCTAATGGGTATGATTAATTTAGGCTTGGTTCAAGTTATTTTGGAAAACGAGTTTTAGAGTCGATTAAACCTCATATACTGGTAAGTGATAAGGTAAAAGTCACACCAACTATTCAAATTTTAGGACGAGACATAACTATCGTCTCCACATCATGGTACACACTGGTGAAACTCCATTTAAATGTCAGTATTGTGATAAAAAGGTAGCTAGTTTAAGTCGACTGGTCACTCATGAGAGGACACATACAGGGGAAAAGCCCTTCATTTGTTCTGTATGCGGGAAAGCCTTTGGACAAAACTCGGCCTTGAACACGCATATGAAGCAACACACTGGTAAGTGGCTAAAAATATTATTTGTGACTGGCGTGAAGTGTGTGGTTCACCTATACTGAATTATGAATTAGTAACATAGTCGACATAAATCGCAGGCATACATAAGAGCTTATAGTCAACGCCAAACAAAGTGGCGTGCACGTCATCACGATAAAAATTCGCCGACCTAATGCCTAGGTTTCTATCACAAACAATTGCTCTATTGCAGTTTCATATTAATGTGATATATAAATTGTAAAATGGTCATTACTCTCTTATTATGGTTAATAGTCATATAAACATTGTTATTAAAATATCACATAAGTTGCTTTCTGATAAATTTAGACGCATTATGCGAAATAAAATGTTTTGCAAACGCTCCAATCACTTATCGACATGTAAACGCACTAAACCGATTTCGCAGCGTTGACACATTGTCACCTTGAAACTTATTTAAACTGGGAACTGACATTTGTATTAAGTTTGACACTGAATCAATTTGTGGCATTTCAAATCTTTATAAATCCTTTGGCCCCGCATACTGTAAATCAACAACTGTTTGTTTCAAAACAAAATTATTCATTTTACGAGTAGATAAAGGCAATTTTGGTATATAAAGATGCCCAAACAGTTAAATAGTCGGTGTAAGGAACTCGTGGCCTCGTTAATGCACTACTTTGAGCAAGAAAGGGACAACAACGGGCCTTTGTTGCCTTTAAATGCTGTTCAAGAGGTAGGTTACTAATAATTATATGTAATGTATATTAATAATAGTGAAATTTTATTTCATTTTTTGTAGCGTGTTGCTGCTGCTTTAAAAATTAGTTTAAGGACAGTTAGTCGTATTTCCGAGGGTGTGAAAAGTGATGCAAATTTAGAATCGCCCAAGAAAAAGCGGAGTTATATTAAACGTGTAACCAACACAGCGACATTGGATACAAGTGCCATTCGAGAAGTGATCTATAATATGTATCACAAAAGTAAGATCTTATTATAATAACTTATCAGAAATTTGCATTAATTTGTTAACTAAATTATAATGTCATATTACACATGGTTTCAGAAGAACAAGTTACGATACAAACTTTATGGTCTCGATTAAGAGATAGGGCATTATTTGATGGTAGTGCCACGTCTTTAAGGCGGTTGCTTAGAGATCTTGGATTTAAGTGGCTTAAGGACAATCCGCGACGAGGGCTCATGGAACTACCAAGTATAGCTTTGAAAAGGGTGGAATTTCTAAGGCAATACAATCAAGCCAAGGTTGAGGCCTTATACCAGTTTGTCTTCCTCGATGAAACTTGGATATTTCAAAATGGGACCATAGGTTGCTCTTGGCAAAATGGAAACCAAAAAAGCGTGAAAGCTATTAAAACATATGGTAAAAGGTATGTACTTTTACACAATTTGCACTATAAAATTTAAAACTAATATATTTTAGATACATTATATTACATGCTGGAAATGAAAATGGGTTTATTGAGGGTAGTGAAGCGATATTTTCTTCGAAAACAAAATTGAGCGATTACCATGGAGAGATGAACCAGGACAATTTTTTGAAATGGTTTCAACATCAGTTATTAGAAAAATTGGAGAGTCCATCTATGATTATACTGGATAACGCCCCTTATCACAGCATGATATTGAACAAAGTGCCCAACAATGCATGGACAAAAAAAAATATCCAAGACTGGTTGACAAATCAAAACATACCATTTTTAATCACAATGTTTAAAACAGAGCTATTGAGTATTGTTGCTCGGTACATAATGCTTCTTAATTATATATATTTTGGTCGACAGTTTATATTTCTTTTGTTTATTCCTATTCTTAAAATAACTGCTTTTTTAGAAACAAACCACCTAAAATATACGTGATTGATGAATTTTCGGAACAACATGGGCACAAAGTTCTTCGTCTGCCTCCTTACCATTGTATATTTAACCCTATTGAGTTAATTTGGGGCATAGCAAAAGGTTACTATAACAGACATATTGGTAGAGATGGTAACAGTGAAAAAGACTGTTTGGATATGTGGAACGAGGCTCTACAAACGGTTACCCCAGACATGTGGAAAAATAGTGTTCGACATACTGAGCAAGAAATTTTTAAATGGTATGAAAGAGAACGAATTTTTGATCGACCAGACATCGAACCTTTAATAATCAACTTTGAGAGTGATGAAGATTCAGATTCAGACAGCGCTGAAGAAAGAAACTCCGACTAACTTTATTGTACAGAAAAAGCTTACACCAGTAGCTTACCTAATTTTAGAATGCATTTTTCTGTATGAATTCTGTAAAATAAATACCATGCATAAAATTTGGAGGACCCCATTTGGATTTTTATTCAGTACCTTTAAGCTATCAATTAAATATGGTAGTTTCATAGTGTCATCTGATCAATAATTGTCATACTTAATGATTATGCAAGTACAGATCTATAATTTTATTATACTATTATTTTTGTTCTCATTTGAGGTTAATATTGCTTATAAACCTAGATATGTAAATAATAAATTTTATTATTTTACAAAAAGTTTGGCAACAATGTAAATTTTTCAACACACCCACCTTGATGACGTGCACGCCACTTTGTTTGGCGTTGACTATAGACCCGCGGCGCTTGAAGTTCTAATTTGATGGGCTATAGCAAAACAAAAGCTTTTTGTAAATAATACATATACCCGTTGACTCAGAAAATTAGACCACATATAAGATTTTATTGATTGGGTTTTATCATTTGTAACAGTTATAGTATCAAGTTCCTGATCAGATCAGTTTTTTGTATTGTAGGTAGGCCAGAAGTATGTCAAATCTGTAGCAAAACTTTCTGCAGGAAGTCAGAATTAAAACTGCATATGGATAAACACATTGGCCTCAAGCCTCATCTTTGTACTGAATGTGGTAAAGCATTTGCACAAAAGAGTCACCTAACTGATCATATGAAAGGTCATGGGGAAGAGCGTCCTTTTCAGTGTCAGTACTGTGACAAAGCATTCAAGAAGAAAGTGTTGCTAAAGAGTCATTTGGATATACATGCAGGTAAATGTATAATAACAGGATTTCATTTTATTCTTGAATGGAGTGCAAAACTAGTTATATACTATTTTCCACGATACTTCAGCGTGGCGAAACATGATAACAGATAACAGCTGCGTTCATTTTCTACACAATCTCAGATACGTTTACCTCACTTCAATTTCATCAGTTTATTGCTCGTTCTTTTTATAAAAACTCAGTTTGGATGAGGTGAGATTTCTACCTTGATCCTCACTTGCTGCGTTTAGGTCAAGTCTATTTTCAACTCTCCTCACAATTCTATTTTTGATTCATATTAGCAAACTGCAAAAATGCTTAGTATTGACAGATAAATTATTTTCTGAAGAGCAGCGCAATGGCAGTCGGTCTTCCTGGATGCTGGCCAAGCAGATTGAAAAGAACTTTTCACACAGTAGTCTTCCACCGCTTACATGTCGGGATGGAACGATTGTGGCCGATTCAAAGGCCAATGCCGAAGTGCTTGCAGATCTTTACTGCCAACTCAACCATGGACGTCCCCCCAACGCCCAAGTGCCGCTGATTCAAAGGGTTACGTACACTATGCGGGAAGTAGCATTCAGGCATAATACCGTGGTCCGGACCATTGTACTGAAGAGGTGTGCAGCGGAGCTTGCTCCAGTTCTTTCGGGTCTCTTCCAGATATCTCATGAATCCGGCACCTTCCCAGAAAACTGGAAATTTGCTCATGTCCAACCCATCCCAAAAAAAGGATCTATAACCGACACTTACAACTACAGGCCTATAGCTCTGCTTTCTTTCATAATTAAGGTGACAGACAGGTGCATAAATCGCGAGCTTCTGGACTACCTCGAACGTCACGGCTTGATTAGCGACAGGCAGTATGGCTTTCGGCACCAGCGATCCTCAGAGGACCTCCTAGCTTACGCCACGCAATTATGGAGTAAACTCATCCATTCTTATGGTGAGGCTCATGTCGTTGCTCTTGATATGACGAAAGCGTTCGAAGAATGAAACAATTATTGATATAGCTGTTACTTTCAATTCAACTGAGTGAATTCAATTTGGTAAAAATAGTTCTGATTCTCCAACAACACACAATAATTTACTATTGCAAACAGTACAAAATCACTTAAATAGAAGTCAGAATGAGTATTGTGGAAAACATAAATAATCATTTTTTAGGTATAAAAAGGTTTCAGTGCGACTACTGTCAGTATTCCTGTTATAAAGCATATAGGCTACGACAACATCTCAAATTGCACTTAAGAGAGAACATCCAAGAACAGGGGCAAGGAGAAGAGCTTAGTACTACAACTCAGCAATATTTTGTTGATGAACATGCAAATCAAGAATAGATTTTAAATTCAAACATAGAATAAAAATATTTATTTGTAAATAGAAAAAATAAATATGTATTAAATTTTCTTTTTCAGTCTTTCTATTAGAGGCACGTAAACATCACTGAAACTGTCATTAGTGTCCCTTTTGCTTTCATTGTCTATATTATCTAGCTTCACGGCCAACAGTTCACATTCATCAATTTCATATTCTTCAGTACTGTCTTCACTTTCTTCATGATCTTTTACGTTCAGAGACTGTTCAAAAGCATCATTTTCTACAGGTCCCGTGATAAAGAAACTCGATGAATTTAACAGGTTTGCCGTTTCCATTTTTTCTAGATTTAGTTTTTTCAAATTTTGTTCTATATAACTTGGTTTTTGGGAAACAATATTGTTGATAATATCAGATAAATCGTCGTCATCCACAATGCCACTAACTTCAAAAATTTCAGAGTTATCTTTGTGTTGTAATTTTGCTGGAGTTGAAGTGCAGCAGTCGCCTATGTTTGCGAACTCTGGCACATTTTCTTTCTGGGGTGTACCTAACCTTTGTTTCTTAAGGAAGTTATCTAGCAGTGTCGGTTTCTTAATATGCATCTCACCAAAGCTTTCCTCCAAGTCCTTCAAGACGTCAGTTTTGAGTTGCTTCGTTTTAGCTCTTGGTTTTTTTCTCTCCTTCTTCGCCACAGGTTCTGACGCTGAAGTATCTGCTTCTTTCTTTTTCCTCTTACTAACTTTTTTAGGCTTCATCTTTAATAATCTAAATTCTTCTATGAGCTCTGGATAAGCTTTGTCGACTAAAGATTGTGGTTCTATGGTTGCCCAAAGTTTGTCAGGGTCTAAATTTCTCTTAATCATCTCATCTTCAGTAAATAGGTTCTTGCACAAATCATCTGGATCAGACCAGATGATCTCATAACTTGGAACCCCTGAAATTTTAGATGTAAATAGGTAAACAGAAATTCCTAGAAGATGCGTTTTGTGAATTTTTCTATCTAGACTTGTATAGTGTCACATCAAATGTCGACTAACCTTTAGGGGCTCTAACTTTCTTAATCCTTTGAGGTATCAGGCAACCATGGTTTTCAGCCTTGTTTTGTATCTTGTCAGTATTCTGACACTGCCAGCGTGTCAATATAGGTAGAATTTTCTCAAAGGAATAAATGTCGTCCCAATCCAGATATTTGCTCGCGAAGTTCTGAAACGACCACAAAAACAACCCAATTTCTTAACATTCAAAATACATTCAATATTATGCAGACTGAAAAAGACTGCCATGGCAAACTAGTAAAGCTATTCGGTCCACATATACACTGCTTTTCAAAAATGCCCCCCTCGCCACTTTATTTTTTGAACGGGTTAAGTTGGAAAGCTGAAATTCAGGATGTTGGAATTATTATCTGGGCACTATAATTTATCGCAAAATTTCAGTTCCAAATTTCAAGATGGCGGCTGAGCATCCTCTTGAAACACTTTTTAATAGAATGGGGGTCATGTGATACTTCACACTGAAGCTCTTTATCAGTAATCTGTTCGTCAATTTCATCACCCCCAAAGGACCAGATACCTGGGTCTACAAGTGAGGTCTTCTGCCATGAAAATAACTCGTACCTAAAGTTGATCGCATCTATAAGAATTTAATATTTTAGAATATGTGTTTCGAACTTTAATTTTGTTATTTTACTACTTGATTGTTCTTGAAAGGTTCAAAATTCACAATTTTGGCATTTTTATCAAAAAATCACCCGTTTTCTAATATTTAACTTATTTTTATATCAGCGCAGGATTGCTACAGTTTCTACTTCAAATCTATAATTAAACAGTCATTCATAAAACATATATAATAATAAATGTGTTGCTGATAAATACAAGTTGAAGTCTTATAATTTTGTGTTGATTTGTTTCACCTTTTGTTGTTCTAAATTCAAGTGTAAACATTTCTTAAATGCGATCAAATTAAAATTTATTTTCAAGTCCGAAAATCCCGCTTATAGAACGTCCTTTCAGCTTGCTAACTGTGTATGTGGCCTCGATTATAGGTTAGAGAAAATCTGATGGTCACGTTACATAACTGACCTGAGCACTTTTAACTATGTAAACCTAGATGAAAACTGAGTAACTCTGAGTCAGTGGTAAACTCACCACAAAAGCCATAATATCAGGTTTGTTCCACTTGACGTCAAGTTTCGAAACATGATCTTTTTTCAAAAGAAATTCATTAATTAATTCCTCATTTGGGAAATTGGGGTCTTGCATCGCCTTGCTTCTCATATTCAATTCATTTTTTATCTTTATCCTTTCTTCTTTGTATTTGAAAGGATCACACCCAGTTTTTGTTCCACAATCGTGACAACCTAGATTCAAAATACTCGAGTGACTGACTATTATGTAGTTATTCTGTCGCCAGTATATTTTATCAATATACCAAGCAGCATATTATATCCCGGGAAACAATTACATCCATCTGTTTTAAACTAAATAAAAACATCAATTTCCAAAACAATGTGTTCAGAATATCGGAACAGACAGATTCACCAAAATGTCCAATCTCGGCCATGAACATTCTAAAAACTCATTTTTCTGCAATCATTTTGCTGATTGATAAATCAATCCTATGACGAAAGACATTGTGTCTATCAATTGTACCACATTCACTCTACTATGCGTTATGTTGAAGACGAAACGGAAAGCGTATGTCTGCCCTTAGAGTATCTACAATGTAAAGACGAAAGAATGCCTTACCATTTTTGGTGTGAAACTGAATTTTTCCTTGGTGCCCGCACGACGTACATATATTCTTAATAGCCATTTTTTCTTCATGGTCCTTATAAAATTCAGTCTTTGATCTCCATGATCTCAGCCTTTCTAAAGTTTCCTCATCTGACAGTGTATCAAAAAATTTGACGACAGATTCTTTGCCAATACCCTGAACGCCATCACTGTAATCACTTCCACAAAGAAGTGCCATGGCAATTATTTTGTTTCTTCCAAAGTCTACAAAAAATATAAGTAATGTGTAATTCCTACACATTGATTTAAGGAAGGTAAAGGAATCAGCCTATATATAAAAATGCAACACCCACAAAGTATTTAAAAGATATGTATTTTGTTTCTAGTATTGCAGATACCATTCCCGAAAATATTTTGTATCTGGTATCTGAAATACTGATTTTAAAAGTATCTTGTATCTTGTATTCCAGATACATTGCATACAGTATATTTTGAATAACTGTTCCCATGCAATGCTGTCATTAGTTCATAAAAGATTATGTTTGGCACAAAATATCCCCTCTCAGAAAAAAGCTACGAACGTGTATAACAAAAAAATCAATTGGATCAAGTTAGTCAAATAGGCTCATGCAATTAAGTGGACATTTTAGCATGCTTTTGTGTAATGTTTTGGATTTTTTTGGGATTTGTCCCGTAGGAAAGTATGCTAACCACACTCTTCAAAAAGTTTTGTGTGCAGGAACACTTTCACACAAAGTTATCTCTAATAGGCACATAGTATTACAGGGGTTGGAGCCGTATAAATAAACTAACGTCAAAAAATTGATATATACCATCCCCCACCTCCAATCATCATAGCAATTATACACACAAAAACATTATCTACAGCAAAACTTACTTATACTTTTTGTTGCTTTCATGATATCATAAATATCCACAGCTCCACCACTTGCAGCATGTGATCCTTGCGTTGAAATTGAAAAATTTCTATAAACCACTTTTGCCCCATACGCAAAACAATCAGAGTCTTGAGATATACATCCATCCACAAGCTTGAATAAAAAGGGCATGATTTCCAAGATAATTCCTACTATAACGTTTTTCGTGCAACAAAAACAACGAATTATCAAGCCTTCCGTTACGTTATTTTTGATAGCCACAGCAACTAAGGTTCACAGGACTAACTACTGATAATCATGACAGGTTGCTTATTTCTTTTTTTTTCGATTTCGACGTCAAGCTCACAGAAATACAACACAGTACCTACATCCTCGTATTAAAATAAGAATTGGCCGAGTTAAAATACACAAATAAAATACAATAAATCATGAATAATATGCTTACAGTTGAAAATGTATATGGGACTAATATACATTTTCATGTGGACGTGAAATGCAAGAATATTGACGGTCTAGTGTCTAGTTGAATACCTGATAAATATTCGTCCGAAGAACAGCACGCTCTGTGTTTTAATAGAACTTTAAGTTTATGCCTAAATAATGACATTAACAAGGCTTTAATATATTTTATTAGACAAATTTTGATTTGTTCCTCTTTATCAAACTAAATCGTGCACTATTTCGCGTAAAGCCCTAAAAGTCAAATAGCTATGTGATAACTTACACATTATGAGAATAGCTTCGGTTTACATGACGTGAGGAGCACTCGCGAAAATTGTGATTTACAACTTTATTGAATGAAAAACATATTTTGTAGGCCGCAAACGGATGAATAATATCCCCACCGTGGATAAATGTACAAACAAAAGCAAAGCATCAGCTGTTTTGTGGAAACTGTTTTCTTGTCGCTCTCTAATTTATTCGCCTTCTTTTGGTTTAACCACTCTTTGATACAAGTATAATCAATTATTAACGTATTCAACCTGAAGATAACCAACCTCATTCAGCATGCAAAGTGTAATAAGTCACATTGCCAGTACTTTGTACATGATTGCAAGAAATTATGTGACTCCACATATATTATAATAATGAAGAACAAATGACAATCGTATGCATTTCCGCAATAAAGGAACAGGAGCAGAAATAAAAGGATTGGTAAGCCGAGCGATGTAAGTTTCTGCTTATTGGCTTCATCAGGCCCAAATGGATGTGCAGCGAAAACGTCGAAGTGGAAAGGGAAATACATCCAGAATCGACCAGCAAGAGTTAATCGGGCATTAACGTTTATGAGCGGAAAATGACGTGAATGTGACTGCGGACCTATTTACTCGGTCAGTGACCAAGGAGGGCTGAGTAATGTTGATATAAGGACAAATGGGTGAAAAATGTGACATTATTCATAGTTGCAAAAAAAAACTTAAAAAACAACTACGGCAAAGCACATATATTATTGAAACCTGGAACTTGGGCCTGACATTGAAGTTATTTTCCTCAACATAAGTTGTAATCGCATAGTTCCTAGTTGACCGTAAATCGACAGCGCATTCCATCAAATGTCATGCTGGTGTGAATGATAAAACAAGTATACACCACTTTATCATTATTGGCCGCTATTTGGAGCGTATTTCCATCCTTTCCCGGTCCATTCTGTTCACAATACACATTATCGTCTAAAAATGATATTGTCCGGATTCTCGTTTTAGTCCGCAACATATGTAAACTTATTGAATAGCAAATGGTGAACCACTAAATCACAAGAATTTGTATACATACACCCTCGTCGTTCAAGTAAGCACACATGCTTTCTGCCTCTCCTTTGCCTTTAATACAAGCTAAGCCCATGTGAGAAAGCATTTCTTCACAACGCTTCAGAATGAAGTGAAACCTAAAACAAATAATTCTCAAATTCCAAATATCATTTTAATTCATTTTGAGAATGATGCAACTGAAAAACAAAATCGCTCTAAGAACGGAAGATGTCGCCCACCATCATAGAATATACAACCCGTCAACCAGAGTGAGTAGCTAGTGTCCACTGTGGCTATCAGCAGTACCATGTTATGCAAAGGTTGCATAAACAAACACAGGCTGACCTGGATCTGCTAGCTTCCCATGTGTGACCATAACCAACTGTATACTATGCTATTTCATGCTTGTTAGAAATCATCAGTGTGTGTGTACCTCTGATTGACGGGTTGTGTATTCTATGATGGCGAATTACATTTTCAGTTCTTATAGAGGTATTATCTTTCAGTTTGTCCAGAAGGCGTAGGAGCCTTTCTGCATTTACGACAAATGGGCCGGGATGTATCAGTGTTGGCGCACCCAGTGCCAGCAGTCACCTCGTCACGCTCTACTTGCTGAGTTTTTCGGTAGACCACATCTATTTGATTACTTTCTGTAGTCTTTACAACCCCTACATCTATACAGTACTGATGGTCACATAGACTGAAAGCAAACACCTCCAGTTCAGCCTATGAAAGAAAAAGACTAACTCAGAGCAACAGAACATGGTGAGTGACCACACTGACCTCTCAGGTCTCAGGTCCCTACAATGGTTTGCAATTTTCATCAAAATGCTACTACTGATTTCTGCTGTTCAAACTGAAAAATATCGTATTTACGATTTATATCAGTGTATGTTGGTCATTGTCATGCCTATGTCATAGTCATATCGTAAAATTCATCATTTCATGAAATGTATCAATTTGTATTGGCCAGATCATGATATGAGTTGACCAGATCAATGATAACAAATATATGTTCAACGATATGAACAACTAAACGCTCAGCTGCTTCATGATATGGTGAAGCATGCTTTATCAAATCGTACAATAATTACATTAATTAGCGATAGAGGCGCTTTCTTTATATTTGAACAGGGCAATCATTTAATAAAATTATGTTCCTGGGTGAAAATTCTAATAATTCGTTACTGAAAGAGGAAGGAAGTGGGATTAAACGATCACGACAAAAATGTATTCGAGTTCTCGAGTACTATGCGAGTATGCGTGATTCACAGGTTAGTACTTCACTCTTAAATTACATTAACATTTACCTATTTGGAAATTGTGTGCCAGCATACAAAAACAAAACGCTACAAACGAGTTTTACTAAATTTACACTCGATTCGTTATTGCCAACGTTGCAGACTAACACAAAAATGTCGCTTGCTGATCAGCTGTTCACCTCAGTAGACGTCAAAGCGTGATGGATACTCATGAAATAGGGTATAGCGTAACCACGCGAGGTAATAATTTGTGTTATTTAATATAATCAAAAATCTTACCTGTGACACGTTGTGCAATTTAAGATTGTTTTAATATAATTATTTTATTTAATTTCCTTAAGTTACTAGTTTCAATAAAAATATATTTTGTACTTAACGAACAATAAATTCCTAACATATTCTGGATTTTTATTAAATATTCTTAGGCACCCTATTTTATGATATGATCGATTGTGGATCGTTAATCGTTCACGATTTAACGATATCGTCAAATATAGTTGCGACCATTTCATGCAAATCTGGATCATTTCATGGAATGGCCAGTTTAATGATTTGGCCACGACACCTACATCTGATATTACAGGTGTGATTCTTCCCGAATCACGATGCTAATGTAAGCAAGCGAACGTAAAATCTCACGGTTTGGCATCCCTTGCATCAACTCGAAGGCTTGTACAAGGATGATTAAAACTTATTAGAGCTAGCTAGAATATGAGACGATAATATCGAATATAATGAGAACTCAAGAATCTCATTCCCACATAGCCAAGGTGTAAAAGGTCATGGACGGCCAACATAATTTGATCCATCCACTTATTTCAGAAAGCAATAGGTATACAAGAAAATTTTTTTTATATATATATTCCGTTTTTTCAAAGTTAGCTTCAGCTTCATTTTATTAAATATATTCTTTAGCTTTTTCTTGATATAACCTGCAATATATTTAGTACATGAAGTTATTTTGTTTAGTTTTTAAGATATATTTTAGAACAAATGCAAGCCACCATGAAAATGACTCGTTCAAAGTAGCTAAAACAACCTTCATGGTGGATACCAGATATTGACATACATCATTTTGTATATCCCCTCACAACTCTATTCTTCCATACTTCTGTTCATCGAAAATATAGGGTGCTCAAAATTGACACCTGAACTATGCACAATATATTTTTGAATGATTGTTTTGAGGATTAAATTCTTTCTCATTTAGTATACATATTTGTATATCCTATACAGCTACCTGGAAAACAAAGAGATGTTTTTAGCCATACTTAGGGATTTCTGAACCACCGTGGCGTCGATCGCCTCTAGGCTTAATCATGAATGTCAATGCATGCCAAAGCATACATTTTTAGAATAGTATATTTACCAATTAACCATTGTTATATCCCCTTTGTAAGATTAGTAAAAACCATCTTATTTATTATAAGTACATCTATAATACTACACAGCAGTCCAAGATAGACACAATATATTGCGACTGGTCAGCTTGAACACTAAGGATAAATGCACAAGGGCATAAAGCTACAGGTACACTCAATTACACAACAAATAACTTACTCAAATTTTAAATTATCGGAAAAATCCATTCAGATTTGTGAAAAATACCAGTTGTACTATTAAATATAAGTGAAACTAGCAGCATTTTCAACTATAATAAACTTGATTTTATGGCACCCACTCACTTTTATATGTTTTTGCAGAAAAATACGAATTTAATGTGAAATGTTAACAACCGCCAAGCTGGAGGCTTGAGCCTATATCTTGGGATCAGTTGAGTTTTGGGCTTTGTGCCCATTTTGAGACATTTGTTCAGGATGTCAAGATACATGACAATTCACGATTGACCAAAACTACACCTTCAGATAAGAGCTGACAGCTGAGTAGAACCACTCCCACTATATTGACTTAGGCAGCATTTACCTTGGGACCCATTTAGTTTTGGGGTTTGTGCCCTCTGGCACATTTGTTCAGGATGCGAAGATCATTATATTTCATAAATTCAATGATATTAGCCAAAACCATTCTTCTACATTGAGTAACTGAGTAGGACTGGTATCCCATACAGTCTCAAACAGCCTATATCTTGGGATCAATTGAGTTTGTAACCTCTTAGAAATTTGTTCAGGATGCCAAGATACATAACCTTTCACAAATTCATTAGAATTAACCAAAACCACTTCTCCATATAGAGCAGATAGCTGAGTAGGGCTAATACTCCACTATATCAACTTGATAATAATAACAGTGGTTATTAATAGTGCTTATCATAATTAACTGAAACCACTTTTTCCATAGTTCTATGATACTTTGCTTCCATCATCTTACTCTTTCTACTGTGGCACAGCATTTGATCAAATAACGGGAAATCATGGGAGTAAACAGTTTAACCAGTGATAAAACTACCTAGGAATAGGAATTTCAGAATACAGCTGTATTAGTCAAACCATCCAGTTTCCATCTATAGTGCGACATTTTATCTAGAGTAAGTAGGAGATGTCTTATTTATATTCATTGTAGAAATTGAAAGAAAAACAGAATTTGAATTCACTTGCTATACTTATATGACCATAGCCCCTGTACTCAGCAACACTACTTAGTTTTACCACTGGTTACAATTAATAGATAATGAACTTTTTATCACAGTTTACTAGTGTCTACCACCTACTGTTAACCAGTTCTAATATTTGTACCTGCTTCTATCTTTCCCTGTCTTGACTCCATCTGTCTTGGGTTTTGACCCCTTGAATTGGAGTACATTTCTAGCTGCAATGGTTTCATACTTCAGTTCTGGAGCTTTGCCTTCTAATACAAATACTGGTATTACTCCCATAAGCAACAAGTAACATGTTCGAAAGTAAAGATTCCTAGAAATGCACAAATTATTATATTATTATTATTGTTATGTAAGCAATGAATGCTAATACCTCAAATACATCCTGGGTTGCACTTGATACTCTGCAATATTTTGAGCTTCGCATATCCAACACGATAAATCCACTGCCACTGTTTTCCCAGACAGCTCGTACAGTGGCCTACGTTCACAATACGGAGTCAAAATTGTCCAAAGATGTTTAATTCCCATTTTACATGTTTATCAATAATTAAACACACTACAATCTACAAACCACAAAATAACGAATTAACAGTCCGTTTCAGCTGTTCCAAAATTGAAATTTTTAAACACTGACAGATGATAGTGACATTAAGCCACAGAATGTGACACATAAATCAAATCCAAGCGAATAACCAAAATTTCTGTGTTATGTGCCGCGGTTATAATATGGTTCAAGATGACACACGGGTTGATGACGTCAGTTACACGAATCGCTTGAACGCGTTGGTTTTAACCGCGGTTTTGTTGCAAGTTGTTTATTTTAGAAAAGCGCGTATATAATCTCTGATTATTTTTATTATCACTTAATAATCGGTGCCTTTTCGTCTACAACTGTATATGGAAAGTTTAAATAAGAGACCTTTCATAATATTCATGGGAGAAATGTTTTTTCAGATTTTTTTTTAATGATGGAACCATTGCTTTGTGGCTATGATAACTTTCAATTCTCTAAATTTTTTCGCATGTCAAATAAAACATTTATTGATTCAGCGGAAATGATGAAAAAATAAATTAGCAAAACCGTATACAGGTGGATATCATCTAGTGAGTTTATATGGCCATATTTTAATATTCTTGTGGTATATGGCTACACAGGATACTTTGTTAAGCATAGGAACTACATTTAAAGTGTCCCCAACAACCGTAATGAGTATAACTAATAAGGTGCTCCACTTTATGGTAAAACTGAAGTCAGCCTGAATCAATTTTCGCAAAAATGAAGCTGAAGTACAATAACAATATCCAATACCCGGCAAAATTCTAACTTGTCACATTTCAAATAATGCGGTGATAACTATGACATATAACAGCTGATTCGTGACGTCACGGATCTTATAATCAAACTGATAACGATAACTACACTCGCTTGAACGGATCGGTAAATACCAACCCAAAATGGTAAATACCATTTCCATTTGGTTATGCGCTTGAATTTGATTATAGAAAAAAGAGAGAAATTCATAGCCGCTTTCCAGTGCCACATTTGTGTTACTCGGAGTTTCCCACCACCTGACAATACCGTTTCAGTGCTCTAGAGTGTTATGCACCTGAGCTACTCATTTTGGAATCCACTGTCCCCTCATGCTCCAGCTTTTTATTCAGTGTTATACGCTCAGAAATAGTGGGCATAACGAAAATGACAATGTGTCAAGATTGTTATGTTATTTTTTTCATAGTTTTTTTTTTCATTAAGCTCACATTAAACCGATACCAGACAATGGAGGATGGTAAAAAACTGATAATGTTATGACCCAGAGTCATAACGTACATTTGAGATGTGCCTGAATAATAAAGATTACAAGAGAGTGCAAGAATGCAGGTTCATAGCGGCTTGTAGTTGGCTTCGTCTATAACTAGATACCTTGAAAATAATTTTGAATGTCTACACTAAAATATGAATTCGACACATTTGTCCACAAGCTTTACAATAAAAATGCAGACTTTTGACGTCTTGCGCCATCACTCTAAAAACACCATCAGGCACCAATTGAATAGTCTGACTGCTTCTGAAAATAAAGGCAAAATGTGTTTATATTTTCATTGTTTGGCAGTGTGATATAAATTGTCAACGTTAAAGCAAAACATCAAAGAACAGGCTAGGTGTTTATCGTCGCGTTCCCGTGCACATTTGCTAGACCGAGCGTTACACTTCGGGTGCATACAACTCTCAATTCACAAGTACTGGAAAGCGGCTCATATAACTTAAGAAGTGACTATATTTACTTGTATCGACTTTTCATGATATTTGTGTAGGTTATTTTTGAAATCCTGTAGGTTTCCCTATAAATTGTCACCTGTGAACTAGTTGACATTCACTTAATGCTAACTTGTAGTAGGCGCGGAGTGAAATAGCGGCTAATTAGTGTACAAGTTGACATATTACCAGTTTTTGTGACGTTTTATATAGGTTTTTTACGTAACCACTCTGCAGGCCTAGCTGTTTTAACAATGACGTTATTAATCAAATCCAAGCGAATAACCAAAATTTCTGTGTTATGTGCCGCGGTTTTAATATGGTTCAAGATGACACACGGGTTGATGACGTCAGTTACGCGAATCGCTTGAACACGTTGGTTTTAACCGCGGTTTTGTTGCAAGTTGTTTATTTTAGAAAAGCGCGTATATATCTCTGATTATTTTTTTATCACTTAATGGTGCTTTTTCGTCTACAAGGGTATATGGAAAGTTTAAATAAGAAACCTTTCATAATATTCATGGGAGTATTGTTTTTTTTTCAGAAAAACATTTTTAATGATGGAACCATGGCTTTGTAGCTATGATTACTTTTAATTCTCTAAAGTTTTCGGCATATCAAAGAAAACATTTATTGATTTAGCAGAAATGATGAAAAAGCGATGAAAAAAGATATAAGCAAAACCGTATACAGGTGGACATCATCCAGTGAGTTTATATGGCCATATTTTAATATTCTTGTGATATATGGCTACACAGGATACTTTGTTAAGCATAGGAACTAGATTTAAAGCGACCCCTTCAACAGTAATGTGTATAACTAATAAGGTGCTCCACTTTATGCTAAAACTGAAGTCAGGCTCAATCAAGTTTCTCAAAAATGAAGCTGAAGTACACTAATAATATCCAATACTCGGGAAAATTCTAACTTGTCACATTTCAAATAATAACCCGAAATATAAAAGTACTCCTGACTTAGGTAAATACCACAATTTTGCGGTGATAACTATGACATATACCAGCTGATTTATGACGTCACGGATCTTATAACCACAATCGCTTGAACGGATCGATAAATACCAACCCAAAATGTTAAATACCATTTTCATTTGGTTATCCGCTTGAATTTGATTACTGTTGAGTAGAATACGTTTAGTAGTTGGTCGACCTTGAATTAGAACCATCGCTAAAAAAATTTGCTTTCAGGTGTTTTGTCATTTGAAAGACGAGCTTGTCTTATCCCGATTTAGGCAATAGTATTGATTTGAGGTTAATTTAAAAGCCGTCTTTGTGTTTACTTGACTGAACATCAAAAATTGACAGCAACAACTCTTTTTTGAATCAAAAGTACATTTTTTAATCTGGATCTAGAAATGGGTTTCAATAATATCATAAATTATGTTATATTTGATAACCCTATTTCAAAATCAGCAACTAATTTGTTATCTGTAAGTTGTTCCATTTTAATCTACCTTTATAACATATTCAAACTAAACAATTTTTAGAGGAATATATCGGGTTCAAAAGCAGTACCTTCAGTAACAGTGATCACAGAAAAAGTTCCATTATGGAAATTGGCTGCAGAAAGTGGTCCATTTTTGAAAATTGCTGGTGTTATGGGAGCAACAGCAGTTGCTTTGGGGGCATATGGGGCACACAGGTCATACCCCAAAGACAAGGCACAGGAATTAAAACCTGTTTTTGAAACAGCTAACAGAATGCACTTCTTTCATGCTTTGGCATTAATTGGAGTAAATTTATGTCGATATCCAAGAGTGGTAAGTCTCTTACAATAGTAGCAATATACTTACTCATCTAAACATGCTATGTTGCAGGCTGGGACATTGATTGTAACAGGAACATTACTATTCTCTGGACCATGCTATTACTATGCCTTCACAGGAGAACACAAATTCGGAAAATTAGCACCAATTGGTGGTACAATACTAATCATTGGATGGCTATCTATGGTTGTTTAAATGTGAATTATATGATTAAGTATATCTTAAAAAACCTTTTTGTTAATTTGTTTCAGGTATCTTTTACCCCCTGGCTAGTATATACAGCAGTATGACAGTGTGAACCTTGTACATTTCTTTTGTGATATAAATGTAATACAAATACATCCAGGAAGAAAGATAGTTTTCTTATGTTTTGTGTACTTGTCAGTTTGACAAGAAAACACCATAAATGTCAAATATTCCTCAGTAATTTTTTTAAAGAATGAATTATAAATGTAATACAAATAAATCCAGGAAGTAAGGTAGTTTTCTTCTATTTCATATACTTGTCATTTTGACAAAAAAAAACACCAAATATTCTTAGGACTCTTTATACAATGAATTATTTTGATACAAAACTAGTGAAATTTAAAGATGTAAATAATAATACGTTTTGCTTCCATGTTTTCCAATGTGTAGCTTATGTGACACACAAATGTAAGTAAAGAAAATTACTAATCTAACTACTCTGGAGATTCAAAATTAATGTTACATAGTACATTTTTCAGTGGTCTTATATGCAATATACAGTAATGGACAAAAGTATATAGACAAATATGAATATTTACCTAAATACCTTTAGAAAACGAATTCATACTTCATTGCTTCATAAACAAATGCCTTATTAGTAGAAAAACTAAATTCCTTGTTTTTACATTATCTGCAATGAACACAATACAAGTCTGAATATAAGCACTTTTTTATAAGAGACAAAAATATGTAGACAAATTCTTTTCAACATTAGTTTAGTACAGTTTCGTGCCAGAAGAGGATTAGTTTGTGTTCATCAAGTATTGTGGAATAAGCTGAGTGATTTTAAGACCATGCCGCGTGGTCCAGAAATTTCTGTCAATGTGAAAACTAAGATCAATGAGTTATACAAAGATGGTCAACGACAAGTCGACATCGCCAAAAATTTGAAGCTGAAGCGTAAAGCAGTTTGGGCAATATTGAACAGATACAAACAAAAAGGTATCTTGGAAGCCTCTAAGAGAAGTGGTCGTCCTAGAAAACTAAATGCCAGATCAGGTAGATTAATAAAAGTAATTTCGTTCAAAGATCCGCTTAAAACGCCAAGACAAATAAAAGCCGAAATCGAGACAAAAGGAATTGTCAGTGTTTCTACGAAAACTATAAGTAGAAGATTAAATGATTTGAATTTATTTGCACGTCGAACGAGTACGAAGCCGCTAGTCTCGAGGAAAAACCGTAAGGACCGATTACAATTTGCACGGTTGCACCTTGATTGGAGAATCTGTGACTGGAAGAGGGTATGTTTCAGTGACGAATCCAAGTTCAATATGTTTGGATCGGATAGTTTTCATTACGTTAGACGTCCTAGTGGACAAAAATTGAACCCAAAGTACACTTTGCCCACTGTCAAACATGGAGGCAGGTCTGTTATGGTTTGGGGGTGCTTTTCGGGGTTTGGGATGGGACCTTTACATAGAATAGATGGCATTATGGATAAGTTTGTATACACAGTCATACTAAAGCATGCCATGAAGACAATATGCCCTTAAGATCAATCTTCCAGCAAGATAATGACCTTCAAAGAAATTCTTTCTGGATGAAAAAATGCCAGTTCTCAAATGGCCTTCACAGTCTTCCGATATAAACCCCATTGAAAATCTATGGGAATACTTAGATAAGCAAATACGAGATAAAAATTATTCAAAAAAGGACGAACTGTTTGCCGCTTTAGAGCAAAAGTGGAGACATATTGATGAATCTTATATCAAGAAACTTCTACAATCTATGCCGAGACGATGCCAGGCGGTGATTGATAATAATGGTTATGCTACAAAATATTAACACAAACATGGCTGGTTTTCTATAATTCAATGAACTTTGCTTCTTTTTTCTGTAATTGTTTTGCTTTGTCCTTCACAGTTCCAGTTTTTTCAATTAATTTTTTATTGAAGGGAGTCTAATGAATTTATTTATGTATAAGTATTATGCTATAACTAATTATGTATACACGTTGGTGTACTAATAAAACAAGTTAAAAAATAAATACATACAGCACAATATAAATTTGTCTATAACTCTATATGCTTTTGTCCATTACTGTATATTGTAAAGCAATCATTTTAAACAATTCGTGTGTAGTGTGGTAAAAAAAAGAAAATCAGATTTGAACAGGTGAATTTTTATACAAATTGCTTTCAAGTCAAATAGTATAGTTGCCAAACAGAGGTGCTAGCTGTCAGCGTTAGTGTTTATATTTGATTCATATATACTCCGAGAGCCAAATTTCTGACGGCTTAAGTTCAATGTGTGCGAGAGTGTGTAAGTATAGACACATATGTTAGGAAGAGAAAGAAGCCAGCTGGATTGCCAATATGTTATACCAGTTTCTTGAATTAGGACGCATGATGAAAATATGCGGCAGGTTATTCTCTGCGCTAAAATAATGGTTTTATTTTGAGCGTACACATTTGTGAATTGTGTCGAATCAGTGTAGAATCGATTCCGGATCGGCCCTAGCGGCGCTCCATTTTAGGTCGAAATAAAAGGTCAGGATCACCACAAACTCTACAACATTGCATCATTTTTTCGCTTGGCAACACCGCATCTCGTACATTCTAATTCAAGGTTTCCACCTCCATATCTCAAGATGTGTTGATTTCATCACCACCGGTGGAAATCAAATATAATTATAAAATAAATTAAACACCAAGTCGCTTGAAAATTTAAATGAATAATTCTAATCAAAATGAACACAAAATATTACATGTTGGAACAGACCTTCTTCTTGGGTTTGACAGTAACCTATCCATTTTTAGAAGCGTGCGAATATTTTCTGGTGTAACATTTGTAACGCGGCAGATTGCACGACCTTCTGCGTCACCGTTGCTAGACAAGGTGGTGATGACCTTCGCTCTTCACTTCTCGCGCCTCTCTCTCGTATACATTGAACTCAAGCCGTCAGACAAATTTCCCTTTATATATAAACAAGGTTCATAGAAAAGGGCCAAAGACTATTCACAAACACCTCGTTATTGCTCAAGGCGCTTTAGAATCAAATAAAATTATTATGAAATACAAAGATAGCAGCACATACTGCAAACTCGTATATTTGTTTTTATGGGTCCTCTTCTATAGCAATACCTCATGTTCTATTCATTCTTAGGAATATGGATCTGAACCGAAATATTTTCACATGATCTACAGTATCATAAGAAGGTTGGCCTACATTATTTCTTACAACTAGTGTTCGATCACCCCCCTCCTGCCCCATTTTAATTTAGGGCTTAGTAGTCAATAGATTTGTGCATGTTTTTTCTTTAGGTCCAATTCTGCAAGAACTGTTTCTGAAGTGGTGTAATCTTTCTGATAAGGAAAAAATATTACTCAATTATTTAGCTGACTACCTGCTGGATAAAAATCAAACAGAAATTTATACTTCAGTAGTTCAAGGATTTACCTACTGGAATGCAATACAAGATTTTGAAGGCAAGCAACATAAATTAACGATTTATCAAACCTACACAAAGTAAAAACATTTATAAATCACTTTTTAAGCAATTTACGAATCATGCCGATGTTGATGAAACTTCAAACTCCAAGCACTTTATTTTTTCTGATGACTTTTTTCAAATGAATCTGAGCGAAATAGTCGTTTTTAAACTGACAACTTTTCTCGTAAGTGACGTTCGTTGATCCTTACTTTAGGGCTCCTCACGAAGACCATTATGAAAATCGATCTTATATTCCGTTTTATTTATGGATTACGCGTGGATTTCAACATTTTTTGAAAAAACATAAAAATATTCCACTTAAATATGCGAGTAATTGATAGTCAATTATTGTATTTTCAGGAGCATGCGGGTTTAGCGAAAACCCACTAGATTTCAAATTTGATCTTGAGGAAGAAAAATTGATATTTGGTGTGGTAATGGTCACAGATGACGTCACCTCAAATATATTACTCCGATCAAACCTCTGCACAGAAATAAAACACGTCGTTACTGAAAATAAGAAGCGCAAATTGATTGCAGAACTAAACCGCCTTACTGGTGAAGGAGATAACTAACCTTTACAAATCATCTCGTATTTATTTTTATATTGTATATTTTGTTTATATCTATACATTTGCATGAATCTATTAACATTTTCCTTGTGTTCTGGAAATGATTGTACCTGAGTATTATTGTTAATATTATGAATGTAAAGGTACTGATCACCAACGTACTCATAAACATACACAAAGTATAGGTAGTTGTACACAGAAATATCTGTACATTATAGAAATCAATCTGATATTCCGTATTTTTTATGGATTATGCATGGACTTCAACATTTCTTATATAGAACATAAACAGAGTTCGCTTAAATATGTGATAAATTGATCAAACCCACTATATTTCAAATTTGATCTTGAGGAAAAATTGATATTTCGTGTGGTAAATGGTCACAGACCCCACCTCTAATAGGTATATTACTTCAACCAACCAAACCTCTGCACAGTATTAATATATTATACGGTATTTGGGTTCATATACAGACTTTCTTGCTTACTACCTGATTATACATAGAGCCCAAGAGATCAAAAGATTTCCTCAGTAACTAGTGAGCACACCTATACTGTTCGATCAAGATGGTCGTCCAATTTATTGATATCACGCTCAAAGGTTTAAATAATTCTCAGCAGGTGACTTTAACAGTACACCGACAGCCAACAAGTGAGTGTGAACTTTTTCAGTGTTCACGAAGCTTCTCGAAGACTCAGAATGAGGAAATCTTTATTTTTAATTCTAGCATAATTTTTTGAGTGATCACGAGGCTTCTCGGTGCGAGTCTATAAGGGGAAAAGGATTCTCTTTCTCGTCGGTTAAAGATAAGTTTATATGATGGTAAAATAGTGAAACTGATCGTAACACGATGGTCCGAAGTGGAGATAATGCATTCTCATTTATGTTTTTCTGAACTTCTTGGCTAAAGTCTTGAAGGAGCAACATCCAATCCGACATCGAGGCGGCGCCGGCGCGGCGAGAACATTTCTTGACTTACGAGTGTTGGGTGCTCCTGAGGTTTCTTGGCGAGAGTTTTGTCATGAACAAAATTCATTTCAGCATTCAAGTCATGATTCGATTGCGGTAATAAAAAAGTACAAAAAATGTAACAAACATTTGTAATGATCATGGACGTACAAACAAAAAACAATGACTAAATGAAAATAATTATAAATACAATTAAAATCGGTATCATATACTAATACATTGTAAGATACCAGCAACTGAATACAGGAAGTTTAGACATACACTGGGTTGTTATCATGAATCAACATTTGTGTAGGTTTATAAAAAATGCTCAATCTATATCTACTCTTTCACGACAAATATCAATTTCGTGAAAGGTTCCTTTCTACAAAAATCTTCCTTTAATAGAATGTATGCAGCTAACAAGCAACACAGTAATGGAAATTATACTCTCAATACAAAGATGGTATAATTCTCAATACAATGAAAATACATGTCAAAATAGAACTAACTGTATATAAATAGTACAAAAAATCAATAAAAACAAACAACATCCATAACTGAAAACCAACATCATGAAACATGGTCCAGCAGATATCATATATCTGTACCTCAGCTCAGGTTGAGTCCAAATAAGTTGTTTTGAGATAATGAGATTTTCTATTTTCTGAAACACTTAAAATGATAGTTTAACTGGAGTGAAGTACAGCTCTGAATTTTTTTTTGAATATCTTAAAAAATTAAGTTACGATCCCCTGAAGTTTCTTATTAGGAGAATTATCTTATTGGATCGTGAGAACGAGTTATAAATGACGTCAGATGCCACCATCAGATTTACAAACGTTGCTCTGCTCAGTATTTACCATTTAGGGTAAAAATGGGTCAGACCATCGACTTACAAATATTGTATTTAACCTACATGTACAAATACATATAGGCATATTAGCCGCAGAAAAACATATTTACCTGTGCCAAAACATAGAAGGATTAGAAGGAAGTGGTGCAGGGTAATAAACAGGGCTACAGGGTCAATAAAATTGCCTTTTCGGGAATATCATTATACTACTTACTATAAATATCATTTTGATATTAATACGTATTTAGTTGATATGGTAAAAAATTCAAAATAAATGTATATTATGATGGATAAATAACCTAATTGGTGTAAATGAGGGCGGGAATAGATTTGATTATTGCTTTTATTTCGAGAAAATGTGAATATATTTATTGTGATCATGTTATGGCTGGAGGGGTAATACTCTTTGAACCTTGTCTACGTCGACGTGAAGATGCATAGGCGTTGTGTATAATCGAATAGTGTCACGTTTTAAAATAATTAACTGCATTAAGATTTGGCAAAATAGATTGCGGACAAGATATGGCATTCTATTACTTGCCAATTGTCACACGACACTATACGACAACAATATGTAATCGAAATTTTTTCCGTATATAATGAGTTCAAAAAAAGTTTACAAAGGCCCATTGGAGTCCGTTATATTTCGAATAGTAGCGTGTTGAGAAATAAGTTATTTGTGGCTGCAGCTGACTGCAAGTTTGGCATTTATGCGACAATATACACTATTACATAAATTATACCTTGAAAACGTATAAAACAGTGATTTGAGCACAATCAACAAATTTTTTGCATATTTGATCCACCATTTAGATTTTTCAAGAATCGATATTTAATTCGTTATTCGCGATCTTAAAAAGACATGAAACTTCTTGTTGAGCGCAATCAAAACATTTTTTGGAAACATAACTGCTACATTACACCCGCTAATTCTATTTTTGAGCAATCGATATAAAGTTCATTATTAATGACCCCGAAAACATGTAAAACTTAAATTTTAGCTCAATCAAAACATTTTGATCTTTGACAAGTGGATATCATAGTCGTTATCAGCGACCTGGAAAACGTGGAAATGAATTCTTGTTTGTAAAATTTAGCGAATCTTTATAGTTTTTGAAATATTTTAGTAATTTTGAACCACTGAGGCGTCGAGATGCAAGGATTTTTGAAAGACTACAGTTATGTAAGTGAAACTAGTATTTTCGACTAAAGGAAACTTCCGAATTACTTTTGAAATATGTTTCTTGTATTGTATACGACTTAACAGACGAACAAAAGCTATATATGACTGATAAAGTTGTAACTTCCTTTTTATTACAGATATATGGACAGTGTAAGTAGAAAATTAAAATTCACAATATTATCATGAGCTTACCATATAAAAATCATCTTAGGCAATAAAGGACTTAACCCAGCCTGGCTCTGAGGTACAGATATGGAATATAGTGAAAGACACCAACACATTTTTTTATCAATCATTTCTATTGTGATAGAATTCAAATTCTTTTAAAACTGCAACATAAATTGGTATATGTAATTCCTCGATTGATGAGTTTTTATAATAACTCTTACAGCACAATTTTTTTCACACTTCTTTTCACTGGCCTGACATTGGCAATGTCACCATCGCTATTATCATTGAAGACTTGAACAGGTTCTACACTTGGTGCAGCCTGACTTCCTAACGTAACTGTTGCCATGACAGTTTGATTCATGATGGAACTTCTTTGGGGGTGTAAAGGCAACACCTTGAACAAGCAAATTAAATTATAGGGAGATCGAATCAAATTGCATCACGAACTTGAAGCTGGCCACTGCTGTATAAAATGGTTCAAAGGTTGAATGTTTATGATGTAATTTAATAGTTTGTCGTCTCAAATTCCAGACTAATCTAAAGCAGTGTTTCTGAAATGGTGTCCTGCGGTATATGTATGAGGATTTTGTAGGCCCAATCGAAAATCAACTTCAACACTATTTTACATATATAGGTGTTACCTAAAATTTGGTGATTTTGAAATATATGCATCTCGTTTTCCAACATTGCAAAATAAATGTTACAAGTAGCTCTCGAATGAGAAATTTAAAAAAAAAAATTCAATGCAAATTCTTTGAAAAATTTTCCACATTTTTCTCCAAAATAGAACTCACAAAAAACAATTTGGGCAATAGTTTGAAGCGTAGCAACCATTATTTGCTTATAGTGGCTGTCTAAAAGAAAAGTGCACTTTTCATTACGCATAATCAACTGTCCAGTTTTGAAATTACTCCATTTGCAAAGTGCTAATTTACAATAATAACTTATATGAATCAAGCCTGGATTGAAAAGACACACGAGGTTGACTATGAATTCATTTAACTGCTACAAGGTTGTCTATGATTACTACACTACTAAGATGTATCATTGAAAAAATTCTGTGAGTTGAAACTTACCTTTCTAAATTTCTTGAAGTTGACTCTACCATTGCTTACGCTACTATCAACTCTATCCGTGATATCATTGTTCCTTTTTTCTATCACTTTTGCGAAACATTCTATTACAACTTTATCTCTGAACTGATTTCTGAATTCAATGATATAATCATCATCCTGACATTGCAATTCTTCCTTTACTTCTACGCATGTTGATTGTCCGTTCTTAGAGATCCAAGTCGCGTTTAGATTTTCATCTGTCGTTTTTATTCTGGAGTATTCTAATGATGGTTGCTCTAGTACGGATGTATTTGCTGTGCTCGATAATACCTTGGCAGTATTTTTATCTTCCTGTTATAGTACATATGCGAAAATAAAATGTTGATACTCATGATCAAAAAAATCGTAAACTAACACGTATTTACCGGTTTTAGGGTTTAAATGCCAGTTGTCATTTCCTCTCATTTTCCTCAAACAAGTCCTGTGTATGTCACAGTTCATAACCTACAGCCGGTTTCTTGTGATAACATTTGAAAACCATAATTTAAGTGACCGCAGAAATTTGACTCATTTAAAATGAGTATAGGAATTAACTGTGAATCTTAAAATAAAAGGAGATTCTGCGAAGAAGGTACACGTGTGATATGGATGCAAGACTATAAGTAACTTTGGCAAATGGAGACGAAAAGCCTATGATTGAAATAAGTACCTAATGGTCGATGAAACTTGTTCGACGAAGCACTGCAAACCTGCATCCACTTATTGGAAAAATGTTTGACGAATAAACAGATTGTATTGTTAATAAAACAATGGCGTCAAGTAGGTTGACTCTGCACTTCCCACGCAACGTTATCGTCAGGTCATAAAGGATTATATTCGGTAAAAGTTAACCCCTTTTCAAAAAATTAGCTACTAACATGTATAACAAAATGGATCAAGTCAGTCAAACTCACCCATTCGATTAGTGCATACCCCACATATTCGACAACATTGGGATCAGCCTACCGCCCTAGCGACTGTACCGACCACTCGTCAACGTGGCAACTCTTCCAGCCTCGGTACTTGGCTAGCCAGCATTCGGAGCATTCCTACGTACGGTTGTTGACTTGCTCACGTTTCGTATATTGGAAACATATCTCTATGGGGGGAGATCTATGATGTATGAAATATGTCTAAAGCCGCGTACAGACGCAGATTCCAATGCAAGCCAAGGCACATGTGGTTACAGATTTGGAGGTGTTCGAATCGCTGTGTACGGCGCGAGACATCATAAACCAACGGTTTCCAAGTTAGTGTTGGCGTTCGCTCCTTGATCGGTACATCAAAGGGATGTGGATTGATTTGGTCTGGACAGGATTTGTTGTGCTTCTAGTATTCAGTCGTTTATCTGCATTCGATGAGAGGAGATTCGTCGCTGGACATTAGCACCGAACTTAACCCAACGCGGTCCAACTCGAAACTAAATTCAGGTATAGACAAGTACCTTCCGACAACAAACGCCAACGTCACATGTGCTTGCATTCGTTTGCTCGTCGTTGGATTTTCGGTCTGTAATAGGTGCGTAGAATTACCAAGTTGGAAGCGTATAAATATACGAGTACTTAATACCAACAAAATGATATATACTCTTTCCACCCCATACAACCCCCGACATCCAATCTTTAGCCCAACAAAAATTTTCTGAAAATCGCCCGGAACGTCAAAAAGGAAACAAAGTGTGAGCGATTTTTATTTTTGCTTGTAGCTTCATCGCCACTGAACCGATTTTCAAAAGCTATAAAGCTTTTTCGTCCTTAGCCTAGTGGCAACCGGATGTGAAAATTTCCTCAAAATGTGAGCAGTATTTTCCAACTTAAAGAAGGGCCATGGATAGCAGACAGACCGACGGACATGAGTGACGTGGTTTTTGGATATGTACGCACCATATAACATCCAAAGAACATAATATCTCATTTTCCAAATTGTTTGCAATTACAGTACTTCCTCGCTAGTGACGTAGGAAGTAAAAGTATTACTGTTATCATCATTATGAACTTACCTTATACAGAGAAACGTATGACCTGTAGGCTAGGAGCAGTACCCTTTTTTAAAACTTGCTTGCCTTCTATCATGTGGATATTAGCCGTGGTAATATTTCAAAAATTTTGTTGGCAGTGACAATGAATTATATGAACTTTAAACATACGGTGAGATACGTTATGAAATGGTATATGAAGGTTCGCACTTACCATATTATCGTTCCTGTAAGCTGAAACTACTAGAGCATTCTACAGCTTCTACTTTCAACCTTTACAACCGGTCACTGTTTGTAAAATTGTTCATTACCTTGTAACGTAGGCTTGATGAAGGGGAATGGTGAGACATGACAGCTGGCATCTAAACTCAAGTAAGTATGGTCAGCATGTAAGCGCTTTATTTACCATGACAGTTCAATACGTCAAATCATGACAACAAATACTAGCTAAGTAAGCAACGATTTGAGAGAAAGGAAAAATGGTCGCCGCCGGGATTTGAACCCGTATCTCCTCCATTCCGTGGCAAATTAGAAGCAAATTGGTTAGGTAGGCTCCACGCAATGAAGTGGATGCGGGTTCGAATCCCGCCGGCGCCCATTTTTCTTTTCTCTTAAGTTGATGTTAACTAACATATAATAGCTGCAGATCATTTAGTGGCATAAAAAACCCATAAAGTCCAGTGGCAGAAATTATATCGTGCTGGCTCGTATTTTCTAGCAACACTTCTGTCTGATCCGTTTCTATATAATACGAAAGATTCAATGTGCAATCAGAACGAGCAATATGGGTTATGGATGTATCATATGACCAGATTTGAAATAAGGTAAGATTCAATTGAGCAATTGAATAATTCAATAAACTTACGTAAACTTGTTTTGCAAACATATAAAAAGTTCTGAACATCAAAAAACAGATTTGAAAGATAATGTTTGTTCAAATTTATTTTTGAGTGTCAATGAGAACCGAACAATTACTACTATAATGGCGCCTCTAAACGGACAATATTTTTTTAGGCCGGCCATACTTTTTGACATTTCTGACGTGTTTTCAGATTCCCAAATTATTGGAATCCTACTTAATCCCCTAGGCAGCAGCGGTGGCCGTAGTGGTAGACTCTTCGATCTCCTGATCAGTCGCCGTGCGCTGTGCGGGTTCGAATCCCGTCCCAAGAGAAACTTTTCACTTGGCTATGGATGTTGTAATTGTCCGTAGGTGGTAGACGGTCTCTGACTGTCGAACGCGGAGGTACCACCCGGCGGATCTCCTAGGCGAGGCCAGAATGTGTGCATGTTGCATGCACACGTGTTCCCTCGCCAGAGTCCGTGTGGCGTCCCCCATTTCCCTTGTATCCCCCTATAGCGCCAGGGTACCCCATGGATTTTTAGGCCTCAGGTCTTCGTGGTAGTTAGTGTATACAAAAATGTAATGTAAGATGCCACTATGCGCACAATTTTCTTAACCATTCTTGCCTGATTTTGTAGACCTTCTGATAAGAAATTCAGACTAGGTATGTCTACCCATTGCAAACAATATTCCCAAGATACAGTCAATACATAGCTGATATATCCGAGATTCATGGCCGAGCCAAAATATTGCCCCTTTAGGTTCTCCATTAGTCGAGCAATTTTTGCATTGGCATTATATAATGCCGCCATGATGCCGCCGCGCAATGTGCCTGCCAGACAGACCCGCCCGACTTCGGCCTCCCATCCTTACCGTATCGAACTTCGTACATGCAATCTACAAGAGGAGGCTTTTCCCAGTTCTACTAACATTAGGCAGTTCAAAAATCGTATTAACAAAGTTTCTTTGGGATCCTCATAGCAGCCGCGGTGTCCTGGCATTTAGGCCTGTATCGTCAGTCGTTCCTACAATTGTAGGGCGCCTTTATGGCCTCCTTGATTGTCACAGTTTTCTACTTTTCCGTGTCAGCGCTCTATTTTATATATAATATCTATTTGCATCAAATTGTGCTCGCTTTTGAGTTATATGATGTTTTATCAGCCTGAAATTTCCTACAATTTAAAAAGAAAACATATCTTCACAATAGGAGAGCGCTGGCGCTGACACGGGACAGGTGCAATCTAGACATTTTTTAAGAAGAGAAAAGAGAAAAAAAAATAACAATCAAGGAGGCCATAAACGCGCCCTACAATTGTAGGAACGACTGACGATACGGGCCTTAGACTTCTACCTGTGCGGCTGCTAGGGTGTAAACAAATATTAATAATTCTGAGTGTCTTACCCCCTCTTTTTTTACTTTAGGCGCTGACCTTGAACTCCAAAATGGGTTCATTCTAAGGTCTGGCTGTAGGTCTTCCTTACTACTACGAGTCAAAGTTTTAAAAGGATGGTTTTTGTCTTGGCGCTTTGTCTTTTTGCCTATTTTCAAGAAGGGATTTTCTGTCGCTGAGTTTTCCTCGTCAGAGTCATCAGAGGCTTTCCTTTTTTGAGCGTTTACAGGTGTAGTATCTTGCGTTTCAGTAGCTTTAGGCTGCTGAAAACATAGCATAATCAGACGAATAACTTAAAAAAAAACTAGAATGAAAGATAACATACGGATAAGCTCAACCTTCCAACTATTGATGGTTTTTAAATATTTACAAATATCGGAAGGCTAGAATATGAATAAATTTTGGTTAATAGTACCACTATTTCAACTGGTTCATTCCGGCTAGAATTTCCTGAAATCCATTCTATGTCTTCGGTCCTTATTTTTTTGGAGGCATTTGTTAAAGGTGCGTCATTGGGTCTTTTGAAAATCTCTCGCTGGTTTTCCTCCATAATATCATCAACTGAAGATGGTGCTTTTTCCGATTTCTAGATAGAATTGAAAGTAAATTTTACTAAAAATATCAATGAAACACTCGTTCGCGAGTACAATTACATGAAGTACAATGAAGTAAATTATACGGATTACTTTTTACTGACACCGTTTCGGCTAATTTCATTGAAGTTTTGAGGTAAATCTAGCTTTAACCGTCCCCTATACAATGCTTTAAAATGCACCGAAATAGAATAAAAAATGCTTACGCTAGGGCTCTTAGACTGATGAAATGTCCCAAACTTCACGTTAGTTCTCCGCTAACTCCAATTCCACTAACCTCCCAAATGGTTAATGTTCAAATAACCTATCCTGAAACATGCCTATGTGTCTCCATGTCGACACCGGCAAGATTTAAGGGGTATTCCCCCTCAGCCACAATATGATCACTATAATAATATTCATATTGTCTCGGAATGAAAGCAACAATCAAATCTGTCGCTGTCCTCATTTTCACTAATTAGGTCATTTATCCATCATAATAGGCATATACAATAATATTTATTTTGAATATTTTTACCATATTAAATAAATAGCTAGTCACATCAGAATAATATTTACAGAGCAGTTCAATATTTTTGAAAGAGTCAATTTTATCGTCGCTGTCCATGTTCATTTCCCTTTGCACCACTTCTTTCTATATCTTCTATGTTTAGGCATAGGCAAACATGCTTTTTCTGGAGCTGAGATGCCTGTATTTGTACACCTAGATACAATACACTATTTGTAAGTCTATGGTCTGACACATTGTTATCGTTAATACGGAACAGTGTAACGTTAGTAAATGGCGCGGAGGTACGCGGCGGGCGTATCGCTCAGTCTCAAGCTCCAACAAGATAGTTCTCTAATTAATAAACTTCTGGATAGCGTAACTTTGTCACTTCTGAAGTTATACAAAAATGTTTTAAGTTCTGTATTTTACTTTACTAAGACTATCATTTTTTAGTGTGTTAAAAAAAAAACAGGAAACTTCCTTATTGAGAATCTCTTCACAATTTCATAAAATGCCATTCATCATTGGAAATGAAACGGTATGAAGAAAGGGGTACAACTGGAGCTCAGACGTCGGATACAAGGATGAATGAGAGTTTTGCGTAGCACGTTAAAATATTGTGGCAAATTCACGTTATATTTGCAACTTTTGTATTGGGACATCTCGTCACTCTAAGTGCTCTAGCGCTGGCACTCTTTACTGGATCGTGATGCACTTTGAAGCATCGTGTGGAGGAATGGCGATATTACTCTTGCCTTCCAACTGTAATGAAAGAATAGGCGGTCAAAGAAAGTAAGCTGCAAGTTAAGTCGAGCAGTTTAAATTCTTAATGTCAACTATACTTGGAAACCGCCACTGCCGTGGCCTAAATGACAGTAAAATGTAGTTCAAGCACATGTGGTTTTTGATTTACCGGACAGACAAGCATACGAGTAGAATCCTGCTAGCATGAAAACCACAGGATGAGTTTCAGATGTTACATTATTCATCGGATTGTTACACTAGGTAGTAAGTACTTACAGTTGTGTTATTCTCGGGACTGTATGTGGCACGTATTACTATATCTGGTTTCTCTTTTTTGACGTTACACAAATCTTGAGAATAGGCTTGGTCTTCAGTATTTTGTGCCAACACCGTGCTCTGACTTGGTGCGCATTTACTGACATTGCTGGAAACAAAAAATAATTTGAATTCTGCAATGCATTTTGTCACAATATTAGGGACTCTAACTAATGTGAGTCCATTCGAATTGTGAATAAATGAACGTTGACGGGGAAACTTAATAAATATTAGTGAAGTTGCCCCTTCTTTAAACTAACCATATTTTAAAAATCAACTGGAAATTTAAAATTCCATGACGATCGGCAGTCATCAGCATGAAAATATGATTAAACAATGTAAAAACTAAAAAATAAATCAAGTATTGAAAAACAGATTCTTCTATAAGATTTGACACTGGTTTCAAGGTAGAAAGTAGCGAATTTAACAACTTGAGAGCCAATAACGAAACGAGAGTTTCATATGATCAGTATTTTGAACATCTGAATAATACCTTGTTTAAATGGAATATGCTGAGTATTTTAGTACATTTTGAAGGGTCCCTTCAAACAAAAAAGTTTGATATAGAATGCTATGGGGTGTGAATCGCTACTTCTGGAGCTACAGGATGTTTTGGCCTTTCGCAGATGTAGTAGCAAACTTTTCATCAAAATTAGATTTATATCCCACAGTTTCTCGATATTAAAACGGTTTTTTATTTTTATGCATTTTATTCACACGGCATTACTACAAAGTCAACTTTTAATGGCACCCTGCATAATTTTACGATTTTGCGCTATCCTCTTCATAGCTTTATTATTGCAGTTTCCGAGAAATTTCACTTCAAAATAAACGAATACCACATACTTCATGGAAAGGGAGGGTTTTTGATGGGATAGAAGGTAATTTAAATTAGGTTTTGCCCTATCCCCTAGAATTATTTATTTTATTTCAAATTGTTATTTCTGGAGAATTACATGTAACTTAAAAACTCAGCGATTTAACCCTACAAAAAAAAAACAAAAGAAAGCTTATTGAGCCACTAAGAAAAGCAAAAATTTTGTTACAATAGTTGACTATAACTATGGTAATTATAGCCCAGCCACCATGAACATCTTGGAGTACAAAAGCAGGCAAGAAAAGCTGACGAAATTGTACGCCTCGCGGCAGCCTAAAATACATTAAGTAGGATTTAGATAGGCTTATTTGGCGGGGCCTGACTATAAATATTGATGTATTTTGCGCTACTCTGTTGCAGCTAAATCATGCACCATTCTAAAGAGGATATCCCGGAGTCGTAAAAATAAACAGCATGTTCATTAGAATTCTTTAGGAAAAGTACATTTTGCGTTTATAAGCACCATGTATAGATACCTCATTCGATTAAAAACGTTTAAATAACTGTGGTATATGAAGCTAATTTTGAAAGTTCACTCTTTTTGAACAAAATATTCCATAGCCTTAGAAGTAGTTTTAAAAAATGTAGGTTTTCGTTGTCACCTAGTTATGGAACATCATGGAAGAAGGCGGCATATTTCTGAAATAAAGAGCGTATAATTACCTACACTTTATAAATATAAATCACTTTTTCAGATATACTTTGCTCTGTAGTGTAATCTACCGATCCCATATTAAGAATTCAAACGCAGGGGAGGCTTATTCTGTAGAAAATAGAATAAGGAATATCCATATATATACTCACATTTGCAAGATATTAAAGACGGCTAAGCATTGTAATAAATATAATTCTATGAATACAACATTACTGATAGCCCTGCTACCACCCCTGATAACAAATTTGTTAACATTTCATTTTTTACACTGTGATGTGTAAAACAAGTTTGCAAGCCTGTAAGGTTTCTTTTTGGTGAGTGACGCTAAAAGTTACACAGCTTCAAACAATATAAGTAATTGTTTCTTCACTTACCAAAATACTTCGCTTGCTCTGTCAAATTCTGGGTTACAATCCTTTTCACAATTTCCAGATACAACAGCTAAGGCAATTTCTTGTTGAGGTATAAGACGTTGGCCTCTTTTAGACACAAGTTCTACTAATTCCTGGAACGAGCTATTCTGAGTCTTTTCTAGTGGTTGAACCACAATTATTTGTTTTGGAGATTTTTCTATATCTTGCAAAGGCATTGGCTTTTTCTCCCAAGCAATTGACGTTCCTCCTACAATCAAAACAATGTTAAGCCCTAAAGAGTATCTTATTATATTCCAATTGCACAAATTTCAAAACTGCTCAACAACTACAATAAAATCTAAGGGAAATTAAGCTTATGTCAACAAACTTGTTGAAATTTTCACAAACATTGCATGAATAACAAGTTGAGGCATGATTGACCATTAGAGCCTGTGTCTCAATTTTATAATCAATCAACCTTAACAATATTGGGTATTCAATTCTAAGATACTTAAATCAATCCACCTACCTAGCCTTGCTATCACACCCTCCATAATTTGCTTGTTATTTTCAGTAAGAAATATAAATAACTTATTTTTGAACATATTTCTTCGGTTAATTCCCCTCTTCCATTCCACTCTGCTAAGTAGTGTCCCACTAACTGGAGGATTGTTATAGTTCTCTACTTTGGGAAATTCCTCACCTAATATTGACATTACGAAGTATTATAAAATACGCAAAAATAGAGAGACAAATCAGATTTTACGTGATTCACATAAGCTTTACTTTATACAGAAATGTAAATGGTAATCTATATATATATATATAATTCTATACTCGTTCAATATAAATAGGAGTTGAATCTGTCGGATGCATTTAAAACACAAAAATGGCACACGTTCCTTTAAAAAGACTACTATTAGGCCTCTAAAGCTCACTTCCTTGTTCAGCTTAAAAAGTGTTGATTTTGATAAAAAGACAAAAGTGACGAACATCGAGTCCAGCCATGGATTTTTCAAACATCTGTCAATTTTTACGTTACTCCTTACTAGTTACTACTTTTTTATTGTTCAACAAAATAGGTTCAATGGTGCCTGAGGTAAGTGATATTAAAGATTTTGTGTATTTAGATAAATCATCCTGTAAATCCATAAGAACTAAATTCAGAACTTTTATATTTTCAGATATATTACCTACTATTTCACCATGTCCATTTAAGTACGGAACAACCTGTATAAACTGTTACGGAAGAGAGCACCTGCGAAAAGTGTGAATTATAACTTTATGAATACAGACGTTATTCTTAAAACCTGTATATCATCCCAATAGCTACTTAACTTGTAGTTTAGTAACAAAAGAAATATAGCTGTCAGCACCGTCATGAAGTCAATGTCAGTTGCATTTTCTCTCCTTTTTGCCGGGTTGCTCAAACATTCTAAGAGGTATAACCAAGGGTTCAAGCTATACAAGTATTAATAAAGTGTTGCGCCTCGTGTACGGCGTATACTTGAGTCCAATAAAGTATAACTAGAGTACAAAAAAGCCACTTACCCGATCTTACATGATCTTTAAGTTTTGTCCAATACTGAGGCAAAACTATTGGTTTATCATCAATAAGGGCATAAAGAACTTTTACTGTAAGGGCTATCTCTTTGACTGTGAGATGAGTACAATCATGAGACCAATCTTCCACATATGATCCACGAACAGCTTCAATATCATTTTTTAATTGTATTTTTTCAGCGCCAGGCAGACGAGTAGCTGTTGTAACGTATTTTTCTCGCTCAAGTCTAAATGAAATGATATAGGCTCTTATTGTTAGATATTGTACTTGAATATAATTAACATGACACATATTTACAATTGCCACTTGAACGTTGAGTGATATAAGTTGTAAGTGTTCCTTGTATGTTTGACAAACAATGTACACTCAAGGTAAACTTCAATGTAGTTTTGGCAGTGTCATTTGGCTGTTGTCTATTGACATATAATTGTGATAAAAATTAAAGTTCTCCAGGCAAAATGCAGAGTATACATTATCTGGTTTGCTAACAATCATCAGAATTTAGTTATGGATCTATGAACTCCCATTTATGCCAATGACTAGAAATGACTAGAAAATTGTCGTGAAAGTTTTATAGGAATAGCAAGTAGATGGGTTTTTGTTGTTACATCAAAATCACAGTGAATTCGCGAAACATTAAAAGTTATGCTGCCGAGGAAGTATTGTAATCGCGAAAAATTTCGAAAATGAGATATTATGTTTTCTGGATATTACATATGTACATTACGAAAAACCATGTCACTCATTTCCGTCGGTCTGTCATTCGGTCGGGCCGCTCATCTTTGGACCGCCTATAACTTGGAAATTACTGCTCGGATTGGATGAAATTTTCACACAAGGTTACTACTATGCCAAGAACGAAAAAGCTTTGTAGTTTTTGAAAATCGGTCCAGTGGCGGCTTAACTATGAGCGAAAACACGAAGAAAATTAAATTAAAGTCGCTCAAACTCCGTTTCCAGGGAAAATATTGTAGAGGTTGAAAACCGGGGATTGGGGGTTGTAGGGGGTGGGGGGAAGTATATCACATTTTGATGGAGGCAATATATTTATACGGTTTCAACCGCAGTTATTTTATGCACCTATCAGTACATATTCCTCACATCAAAGATTTTCCCATACATTTGCCCTGATAACTAGAGAGAAATATTTACAGACGATACATGCGGTCGGTCGGAACGATGCGATGCAACGGCGACTTTCATACCCCTAATCCTGGCTGGTTGCCAGATGGTCGATACTTAGGGCAGCGAAGAAACTAGCGTTAGTGTATAATGGATGGGGTCTATGGATTATGTACTAATTGTATATGGGGCTGTTTGGCTGACTTGACCAATTTATTTTTTGCTATACTTGTTTTAATTTAAATGATGAGATTGATCTAGTTACAATTATCCTGTGTTATTTAATTTCCTTTAACTGCATGCAAAAACGGATTTTTTGTTCTTGGTACATAACTCCGCCGATCGATTTTTGAAATCTTCATAGATTTTTTGTCCATGGTAGAGTAGTTCTCTGTGTAAAAATTTCATCAAAATCAGACTTTTCAAGTTATAGATGGAACAAGGATTAGGCTAAAGATAGATGACCGCATAACGGAAATGTTGAAATGGTTTATATAACATCCAAAAAACTAAATCCAATGACGAATTTAATTGGATTTAAACCGTTCTTGCAACATTTTCTATTCTCTGTACTAGCCACTTTTGCGGCATGTGGTGAAAAACTCACTGTGAAAATCATAGCATGTTATAACAATGTCGGTTGCCTTCCGCAGTTAGAAAATAGGTTATTCTTTGTAATAGTCCCGAAGCCACGCAACCTAAAAGACTCAAGTCACACCCAAAACTTTTGGATCTATACAATCTGAATTAACCAATTAACAACTAACTATATGACCACATACCACCAAAGTCATGTGTCAAATTCCATCAAGCTATTTAAGCTGTAGCCTGTGAAATAGGAATTTCAAGATTGAACTTCTTTATTAAAATTCGCCATTCTGTTTTTATAAAATTCTAATGTAGCCAATGTCACTCAGACTGCTAAGACGAATCTAAGGACACCTCAGATATCAAAGTCCACCAAGCCATTTGGCCTACAGCCCCTGAAATAATATTTTTTGGGTACATATGTAGATACATGTACCAGCACAAAGGAGAATATGATGAACAAAAGAAGGTACGACATAGGAAACTACCTGTCTCCATACTTAGGTGAGCCATGAACCATTTCAAAGATAGTCTTAAAAGATCATTACTACTTCCCAAGGGTTTGGTTTCGATATGTAGACGATATTTTGGCTGTTTTTAACAAAACATCAGGCTCTAGAGAATTTTGTAAAAAAAACTGCACAGCCAATTTGACTCAGTAAAATCCAAATATGAAATTGAAGATCGATCAGTTACCATTCTTAAATGTATTGTGCAAGGGTACAATGGAAACAACTTGGATTTTAAAGTTAATAGAAAAGAACGTCTTCATCCACTATAACCAACACAAAATGACTAATTTTATCTTTTTAGTTCATAGACTAGTCAAGAAAAGACACTCCCGACATTGAGGAAACATTAATGAGTAAACATACCTTTAGGAAAATCCAAATTAGGAGACCTGTCTAGACTAGGTTCAAGGAACACTTGGCTGATTTGAGACATGGTAGAATAGACAGATCTAGTATAGCAAAACACATGTTCAACAGGGAACATAAGATAGATACAACTAATTTAAAATTATGTCATAATGTTAGGAACCTTAAGAAACTGGACGCATATGAAAGCTCAGTAATAACTAAGAGGCTAGGAAATGTAATGAAAAAGGACAGAGGCCCCATTCCTAACAGCCTTTTCCATGCTCTTGTTCCTCAAAGGTGACGTGTACTTGCGATGTTCGGATAGGTAGTGACATCACGAATCTGATTGGCTGCACATGGCTAGTATTTTATTAGGTAGCATTTTAGTTTTAATTTTCTCCTGAAGATGTTAGCGAAACACGTGTCGGATAGAGAAAAATCGGTTTGCCCATTAGTAAAACTATACATAGAAATCCATATACCACTGACGCCATAGTGTGTACGAAATACACGTGGGAAGCGTGCAATACGTATGTCAGAAAGACATAGAAGAACCACGTTGCCTAGCAACCCGAGTGGCGAGGTAACGAACGCAGCCGTGGCTTGCTTCACTTCATACACATTACTTCGTCAGTGATATTTGGATTTCTCATTCAGGCAATAAACACATAATATTAAGTACATTAGTACTTTTGTATACCTAAATTTACTGTTGTAGACTCCAAACTGAATTTCATCTCCATGTTTTAATACACAAGCAACATTTGGTTCCATTGATTTCCCATTGAGAAGACTTTTGTACTTTGACCCGGCATCAGTGACAGTAACCTTGTCATCCTGCAACGCATTTCAAGTTAAGCTTATTGTGAATAGATATCCCCGACATAGGATTTCTGCTGATACATACGGATAATCTGCCGATACCGATATACCAAAGACCAATATATAACACTTCTATGAAAATCTTATTAACATTTCATTTCTGCCAGCATCAAAACTGGCACAGCAAGTGTATCATCAAATTCTTGTGGTCCTATTCGTTTTTAGCTGAGCATGTAACTATAAGGGCAATACAAGTGCAAGAATAAGTCAAAAGAACAACCGTGTTTTTTTTTAACACAGCATAAATGTGGTCTGAGTAAGAAGACATAATATTTAGGTCAAGATGCACACTGGAAAAGCTTGGTCCATGTAGCTGATTTCATGAAATAAAATAAAAGAAATTATTTGAATATTTGTACATAGGGTAGTTGTGATAGAGATTCTGATGATGATGGTGAATGAAACAATAGTTTTGAGATTACCTATGGAACAGAGATTGACAACAAACATTTGAACTCGCTCACCACCTCAGCTTAATCCTATCAAAACATAATAACTTCTTCATAATGGCAGAGCCCCTTTCTGCCTTCAGCTTAATAAGATGATTGAATTTAGTAAAATTGAATTAACATTAAAAATGACTCTTGTGACCTAACATTACAGAAAACTATTTTACTAGTCCCATACATTTTCGTGAAACTGTGGGCAATGAAACACAGTGCTCATAGTCCCAAGTTATCTTATCTACCTGTCTCAAGCAACTTCAGCATTATGTTTCATAAGATTGGTTTCTCCAGTGTGCTTTGTACCTTAAAAGTTCCCCCACACTGACGCGATACAGCGATAGTGCTTGCGACAGCGCTAAAAATCGCATTTAGCGCGAGAGCTGTATGTTCACACCTTCGGGGGCAGTTTTCTTATCTGCGCCATCTTCTAAAACTGTTTTTATTTCTTATACAATATGTCATTAGTTAATAATAATTAATGATTGTGTTTAAGGAAAAAGAAGAAACAGATACATGATATCAATAAACAAAGGATATATGTAGAATATTATACTTTAATGCCTGAATTATATAGACATCCACAATGTTTTTACATATTCTTTCGAATGACTCTTGAATGTTTTGATGAAATCTTACATTTAATGTGACCCCACACTTTATCCTTTTTTATGTAATTTTTATAGTCTTTGTGGCCCAAATCGTACAATATTGGACACTTCTTAACCTGTTCAATTAATTTCCCTGTTGTGGACATCGTGAAAAACGTGGCGATATGCGACACAAACCGTGTCAGCAGCGTTTCTGAAATAAAACGCTGTCAGGGCGATAAACCGCAGGCCACCACACAGCGCTTGTGTGATGGGTGCTATTTACCACTCTGCAAACTGAGCACCGCATTGACATCAGTGTGATTATCGCTGTCATCTTACCGCATTGTGTGAGGGATCCTTAATTGATCTGTTTTGATTGCATCAAGTTAAATACTGCATGAAAATATTCGAATGCATAAAATAGCACCATCTGCAAATACATTTTTGATGCAAATTATACTTATGTAAAAAAACAGAAATTATATAACTTTAATATAGTTAATTGTGTTCCATGTATTGTGTTTTACTATTCAATTTGACTTGAAGTTAAGGCACTCCCTTTGAATTTTATATGGTCAGCCTATATTGGCATATAAAGACTTATTTATCAGTAAATTTGGCTGATGCTTCACATATCAGTATGGGCCAATCTCTAATTGTGAACAAAGCAACAATAATAGCAATACCTGTACTTCAATCACTGCATGTTTTCTGCTGATAGACACATCATTCTCTATAAGAAAACTACAATTCTTTCTACCAACTTCATACTTGGTTTGTAACAAATAAAATTTTGTACCTGTAATTTAAAATGGTTTTAAATAAGCAATGGTTTGAATATCCATCAAAATACATATTAATGGGTACAGAAGAAATACCATTTTTTACCTGTATGGGTATTTGTAAGTGAAAACAACATTATTTGAATTGCTAATGGTAATTTTGTTTTAATATTTCTTGAGACGTTTTTCCATCGGGAGTTTTTAGACACTCTCATTCAAGACCATCCGGGTAATTAAATTATCATTATTGATAATTTTTCTCAAAAAAAAACAACGATTTTTCAGCGTCTGCTGTTTTTCACAATACAAAACCAAGTAAAAATTTGAAGGTTTTGAGGTTATGGCACGTTATGGTCCCATCGACATATCAAAGGTACCTTTAACATGTCAATGTATGGTCCTTAAAAGGCACGAAACATGAAAATAGAAGTATTGGGATGGGATGTCTAAATTGAATTCAATTGAATGTTGATCAAATGACGGCAAATACTCCAGCACTATGAATGAGGCCAGTTTGAACTTATCATTAGGAAGCAATAAACTTACGATACCACCAAAAAAATTTACTGTCGTCAAAATGGTAGTTATCGATAGAATAAGATCGATAGAATTGGAGGGACGTTCACAGCTCTGCATATGTGAATGAAGGAATACCATCCATAATTTGTCATTGTCATAAGTGACAGTGACACTGTAAAACATAACCAAACAACTGCTTAAATCAACAAAAATCAACAATAACATGCATTAAATAGTGTTTTTTTGTCGATATTTCCTCAATAGGGAGATGTCCAAAGACGCCCGATATGGTCTGCTATACAGTGAATATGAATACGCTACGTATCTCCGTATACCATTTGAAAAATTTTCCCTAGTGGTTGTGTGCTTCCCTCTGCTAGCGTTTATCTTTTGTGTAGCCTATTCCGTCCTGTACAATTTTGAAAGCGCAACCTACACGCATTGCCAGGTATAATTAACAACATTCTTATTGTTGGCATATGAGCATGTAACGTGCACTATTCATGAATCATTTATTACATTTATATATAGGAACACTTCATTTGAGCAGTTCTGTACTCTGCTAGTATAATATTTATCTGCTTGCTATACTTGTTCTATTAGACTAATAAACAGGGTGTTCTGAAGGTTGATACTAAACTTTTAAGGGGTGATAGTGCACACCATTTGGAAAAAATTAGCCACATATACCTTGGTACATAGTCAAACCATTTTTGAGTTACGCGCACTTTCGTCAAATCTCAGAAAAAATCATGTGATACATCATTACTTATTTAATAATGAAGAGCAACTCCTTAGATCTGTTATTTTCTCATTTATCTTGATGTGATATCCTATACAAATACCTTCCTAGATATTGAAAAATGAGGTACTATAAAAAATAATTGCAGTTCTCTGAATGGTTTGATTTTACAGTGCTTTGTAGAGTTCTGAATGAATTTATGGAAACATTTGGCATCTGTCTAATTGAAAATCATTGAAAAAACTTCCCCCACTTCTTTCTTATAGTTTTGCATATAAGCAAGGCAACCATAATTTTTTTCTCAATATCTTAATATCAATATCTTATTGAAATTATGGACAACTATCAAAATCATGATTCCTAAAGTAATGCAAAATCATGATTCCTAAAGTAATGCACATGTAAATTATTCATTTATCAATCATGTTACTCAATTCCACCTCAAAACATAGTTTTGACTGAAAATCATGTAAATTCAAATGCCTAATTAAAAAATTCAACAGATGTTTTAAAAAAGTTGGTGGCTAAGAAAATGTCTTTCTTACTTCTTCTGCAGGGGTAAATGTATTATATAATGCAAGTTGATAATTGTTATCAGAAATGTCACCAATTTCAATGTTTTCCAACGCCGCATGAAAAGTCTATTTATGGAAAACCTGTTTTACAGCATTGAAGAATTCTTAACATCAGACTTGTGAATTGAATTATTGCATATAATTTATTTTTAATCTGTTTTCAATCTGTTCGCCCGTCAGTTTTTTGTTTATGTGTTATTTATTAACATCTTTTTAATCTGTTTGTTTATGTTATTTATTTATTGTAGCCTTGGCTTTAGTGTTGACTGGATCACAACTTTTTAATTATGTTTTTTTTTCATTTCATGTTCCTTGACAATTTGGTGATACTTTTTTAAGTCAAATGGCAATAAAGATATTATTAATGGTACAATTTAAGAAATAATCATTACGTTACTAACAAGGATGTTTCTTTAAGGTATACAACCTCCTCCCATCTATATCGGCAGCTATAGGGAATTTTTCCCCTCAAAGAGAAATCTGGCAGGGTGCTATTGCTCTACATGCAGTACCCCGATTTTATGTTGCCTATGAGTACCTACAACATCATAACAGTGTATTGTACTCACAGGACCTTTGGATTGGCCATATAGCATTCTTCCTTAATGTTATTGAAAACATTGCATTGATAATGCTGTCATTTTTCACATCTTCCAGATATTATGGTGAGTTAATTCGACCATGCTATTATAGCATTGAATTAAATCACTAAACTTAAGTTAAATAATGATTTACTCTTTGAAATAAAGATCTCTAGCTAGTTCTTGGTCATTTGTCAGTATTATTCATATACCTGAATCAATAATCACAAAAGCAGTAATCATTCAATTCATCAGTTACCTTGGTTTTTTAGGCGTAGGAAAAACATTATTCATATACAACGAAATGACGATATTTACATTTTTATCGATAATTTTTCAAAACCACATAATAAAAGTTAAAGGACACAGGATAATTGTAACTGCATCAATCTTATTAAATACAAATGATAAATCATGTCAAGAAGGTTGAATTTGTACTTTCCATGCAACACTGTCACCAGTTCGGAATAAGTTACTTGCAAACATATATGACAACAAAATTAAATGGATTTAACAAAAATGTCCAGAAGTCCCTGAAACGTCAAAAAACGAAGTATGAGCTTTTTTATTTTTTTTGTTTTTTGCCTGTAGCTCTGCTGCTACTGGATCGATTTTCACAAACAACAAAGCTTTTTCGTCTTTGGCATAGTAGTAATCTTGTTTCGAAATTTTATCATAATCACTTTCCAAGTTATAGACGGGCCAAGGATTAGCGGACAGAGTTCGACAGACGGACTGGCGGAAATAAGTGACATAGTTTTTCGTGGTGGAACGTAAAAAAATTATTCTGATTTCTGAAATCTTTTGGAATACAATACTTCCGCGAGTTCGCATGAGAAGTAAAAACCAAAATTACGTTTTCGCGGTAGGGAAATCATTTGAATATACTGACGTCATTTCGTCATTATCATATTTGTTTGCCAACCAGCTTATGTTTGATTACATAACATTGCCTCTGACGTTGAATTTTAATCTCCTGAATGGCCAATCTGGCCCTATCTGACATTTAATCATGGCTCAAACTGATGCCACGTCGTTACTCCAGAGCGAACCAGTGTGGCGATCTAGTCATAGCTTAACGTGTTGTTAATATTGTAGCACTAAAAATTGCAGTTAATTTTCTGAACAGGTCCATTTGGATAATTTTCTTTCTTCTGTTGCTAGAACATTACCTCAAAACTAATGTTCATATTTTAATAACACTTTTTCATTTAAGAAAGTAGTTCATGTATATTTTTTCAGCTGTACATGAAAAGGCATTTATTACATTCATAGTAGGATCTGAAATTTACATGTTTTTGACATGTATTTTGCAAAGTCGATATAAGAAAAAATCAAGAATCAGTCTGAAATGGAAGAAAAGGTTTTTAATTGCCAATGTCGTCTGCATTGTAGCTGCTGTGTACTTTTTCATGAGGCACAACTCGTTCTGCGAACCTTATGGTGAGTTTATGTTAATAAATTTTCATTCATTTTTTTGAAGAAGCTCAACAGATATGTATGAGTATGATAACAATATGACTCCAATTTTCGCGCCACTCATGTACTTAGCTGTAATAATTTCATATGCATCGTTTTTCAATCGCAGGCTGATCTTATTGTTAATCGGGAGTTAACTATCAAAACGTGTTTTTATCTATTTTGCTTGATAGTGGCATAAGTTGTAACAGATCACACGAAAAATATTCCAAGTATCCTAAAATGCATAGAACGTGAAATTTGACGTAGAAGCAGCTTTACTACTTCATCTATTTGTTAGTTGACCAGATTTTGAAAACGAATTCAAGGCCAACTGACAATTAAGCTCCAAGGCAGTGTTTGTCAACATAAAAGTTAAGTTGTGATTGAAACATTGTGCCATGAAGGTGGTAACTTTTTCATATTGCAATCTAGAGATTGTCAGCATCATGGGTTGCTGAATGATATTTTTGTTTCTTCCAGTATATACGTTGTTTGCTCTCGCGGAGTACATAGTAGTGCTGTCCAATATGGCGTTTCATCTAACGGCATATTTCGACTTCGAGAACAAGGACTTGGTAGTTTACAAACGAGGTGTAGCTTTAACAGATAGATAATATTTGGTTATATAGCTAGTCATTAAGTAAGTTTAACGTTTGTTGTTTTTTATATTTGTTTTGTTATATTTTTTATATGTATACCTGATATAGTTTAAGGGTGTTTTTGATCCTTTCTGTAGAACATTTCTTAGTATTTATAATCTGGTACCAAGTATTTAAAAAATTGTGATTCACATACTTTATATTGAATTTATAAGACCATTAGGCGTATAAGGTTCAATTTACATATAGATGATACATAACTATTGCACATAGTGTAAATAAATCGAGTTGTAAGTTATGGATGAATGAGGCAGATCTTAAGCAAGGGTTAAATAGACAGTATAGGGTTCATGGATATTCAGGTATATATTTTATTTCACATCAATTCAATTCAACCTTGGTGACTAATTTAACAAATTACCTAAATTAAATAGGTACATAACAACTTAAAAACTGCTCCTTCAATACCCAATGAATTCAGAATCTAATGGAGAGTTCTTAATGCAGTAAAGCTTGATAAAATTATAAATAGACCAGGATATCTAGAATTTAGATACAACATTTTATACCGGCTAACTTTTTTCATTAAATGTTGCAAAAATCACATTTTCGCGTATAGTCAAATAGTTACAAATTATTATAGTTTTTTTTATATTGAGCATCACAATGGCTTTATATTTTGGCTATTATTGCAGATTTAACCGTATGCATTTTCAAGTAAAAAAGTATATAGAAAACGACTATTTTTTGTAATACCAACTTGACCGTTCCAAGGTCTAATTTTGAAGATATTTTCTCCTACAACTTTTCTTGGGTTACTTACACCAATAATTCCCAACTATTTGACTATACTACAATAAACAGTCATTTTTCAAACTTTAACCTTTAATAGAAAGTTATATATCAAAAATTTTTGTATCTCTCGATGAGGCGCCTTTTCATATACCATCAAGAATATAATTCCGATCTAAAACAGCTTATTACAACTGATCTCGAAGGCCATGAAATCAGCATCCCTTATATATTTTTTTGGGTCATTATACAGTGTCCCAGAATTCGACGTCAAGCCGGAAAAATCGAAAAAAATCTAAGTCGTGTACTTTTCAAGTTATAGGCGTTAAAGAAAAATCTGTAAAATCGGAAAAATCTACATGATTAGTTCTCACTACTACAAATTCCAATTTTTTCTTAGATGGAGTGACGTATAGTATCATTCTACGTAGTCACAAGAGAGTATACTTTTGGGCACTCCAATGCTTGCATCTATTTGACGTACTGAAGTACTCGGGTCTTCTTTGACTGCTTGTAGTACGACGTCCTCGTAAAAGGAAGAAGGAAGAAAAGGAAATTGTTCCTTCACGATGTGCTTGATTTGGGAATTAGGAAAAACTTGGCGATCGGGATGACGAGCAGCATTTGGGTACCTCTCACGATAAAACGCTAGCTGCAGCACTAGCATTGCATCTACATTCCGCATAAAAGAGGTGCATGTTGGTGTATTCCTGTACGGTGAATACAGACATAATAAAAGTGGCGTACTATATTTCTTGCTGTCACTACGTATAACGACACTGTCCAGCACTCCGTCTAAGAAAAAATTGAAATTTGTAGTAATGGGAACTATAAGATCATCACAGGGTGTAGATTTTTTAAAGCTTGTAATTTGAAAAGTACACGACGATTTTTTTATATTTTTCTGATAACTATTATGACTTGGCCTTACCCTCGTTTCCGGATCGACGTCGACTCCTGATTCACCCTGTATATTATACTAAGGAATTATTGCCACATCCCCTTGATTTGCTTAGAACTCTTCCATCGGAGCTCAGAACTTATCGTAAAATTGCGGATGCCAGCTTGATGTTTTCTGATGGTGAAAGCAACCTAGTAAGTAATCTGCTCTTTTTTAATTTGCAATCTGTATTCTCGTATTTTGAAAAACTTTGACTATGAAAAGTAAAAATTGACAAGGACCTACTCTTAATTTTTGAATTATATACTGTCTGAGGGCTTTTTCGAAAATATTTCTAGCTATTTTTCCAATTTGTAAATAATATTTTCAACAAAGCCTGGTGTATATACCTACTTTATGAAGAATCGATATTTTTATAAGTAACAGGCGGTATTCGAATTGCCAGTATATTTATATATTTAATAATATGAAGAGTAGGCTACAAGCATTTAAGCGTATTATCTGTAAAAAGAAATATTATTGTCATATGAGAACTCAAATGTCATTTTATCGTTGGTGTCGGATATCTCATTAGAGAGTTTTAAAATTTCTGTTATAACTTTGATTTTGTTAGTCAGCGTTCTTTGTACTTATGTATTATTATCATCTTGTTTTGTTTGTATTAAAAAGCGAAATTCAATCAAGTGATAGTATTTGCTTCTGATATAATTTTTGAGACTCAATAGTTTAAATGAATATTAGTTCATATAAATAATCCATCAATTCCAGATTTACATCTGATACAACTAATCTCGCTGCCCCAAAGATATATGAACGTGTTGTCATGTCTGTTGTACTTTTACTATACCAACGTCCCAGCATTACAGATATTTTGATTCCTGTACTTTGATACGTATTTGCACACGTTTAATCGTTTTTTTTTGTCTGTTTTGCTATAGAAAATACAAGACCACATTCTAAATATGATGGCATATCCTACCTCTAAATGCAAATTGATGGGATGTCAAAGACATTCTATCATATGGTAGTACACGAGAACGTCATGGCCGTGTGATGTGATAACATTACGTTTCTAAATGCTTAAAGTCTTTTTAATGAGTATCCATTACGGTAGAATAACAGCTGATTATCTAGGTAATATTTCAAAATTCTCGATATCGACTAGTGACACCCAATTTTGACTGATCCTTCAACGCCAGGTAAACATTTTGTTGTGGTTTTTTGTACCCTACGCATTCATTTTATAATTGCTAACAACTCTTTTATTTAGAAAAGTTTCTTCGCGTACAAAAAACGCTACAAACAGATTTACAACCGATTCATCATTGCCAACATTACAGAATAATATGAAGATGTCACTTGCTGATCAGGGCTGCATTCGTAAATTGTTACAGAGTGGACCTTGTGTTACTCTGTAACAACTTCAGCGTTCGTAATTATTTGACGTACTGTTCCATGTGTTCGGAAGCAGATCAAAGTAATCGTTCTGGAACGTCAAAAGTGCACTTTTCTTCCCGTGCTTAAAACCTTGGGAATAAGCCTATTGGCACTTGTCATTCATATGGTTCATTGTTTGTGTACTTCGTCTGTTTATCAAAAAGTACTCAGAATTGACAGAATATATATTTTTCACGATAAATGGTCATATCCATAGCGTTTCATGTTGTGAATTGTGGCAGAAAACGTAGTTAGAAATTAGTATGTCATCATCAAGTGTCGTTATAAGACTTCGAAATGATTTAGGCGTTCTAAAAATAAAGTTGCACAACATTCCAGAGTAAAATAATTTCATCTGTCGACCTACATTTCACAAATACACCTCAGCTGTTCACCTCAGTAGACGTAAAAACGTAATGGATACTCGTGGAATACAGTTTATATGCGTTCGTAGGGTTCCAAATACTTCTCACGTGGCGTGAGTATGTAACACCTCGTGAGATCAGGAGGCGTGACAATAGCGTCTTCAAAGCCTTTAAAGCAGTGTAGTTATTAGGTGTTTATGATCTATAGTTCAAGACTTCCTAATATATCTCCCAAAGTGAATAGTTTCATAGGCATGTTAAACGTTTTCATGCTGGTTAACAGAGTGATTTATACGAGTGAGAATAAGTTTTGTAGTTGTGAAACCTTCTATTCATTATTTGGGTAGAGGTATAATTTTTTTCATGCATTATGTTAAACGCCTGGCTGAAAAATTGAATTTAGTGTTTTTGACAATGATCAGTCATGGGCGCCGGCAGGAATTTTTCTCGGGGAGGGCGGTGATCATCGGCAAGGGATAACTTTTTGTGAAAGTCTATCTACCCCCAAAACTTTTTGAAGCGCGCAAATTTATTCAGGGGAAGAATCCAGAAAACCTCCAAAATTGTAATCATGCTAGATATGCAAATTTTCACATGTGACCAGTTATAATTTTGCAGGCCAAAGATGTATGAAATATGGAATAGCCAGTGCAGAATGCAGGCATAAATGAATATGGACTGATTTGATGTTCTTATAATAAGCCGCGAGATCCTTGAGGAAGCGTTGAATCTCATATCTTCCAGTTAAACTGTTGAAGAGGTGGGCGGTGTGGGCTAGCGTTGTCATGAAGAACGATTACATCCTTAATATTCCTCGGTTTCTATATTGCGCGTCTGAGCTTTTTCCGCGTTTCACAGTACCTGTCAGAGGCCGTGCACCTGCTTGAGAATCCGGGTGGACGTTAATATTTGCATATTTAGCATGATTTTGTGTACAATTTTGGAGATGCGAAAATTTACTATCCCCGCTCTTAAAAAAGCTATGGGCTCAGAAACAAACTTCTTTTCAAAAAGTTATGGGGGAGGTACGCTTTCACAAAAAGTTATATCTTGCTGATGATCGCTCCCCACCCTGAGAATAATTTCTGCGTACGCACAAGAGCGTCAAGAATGTATTGACCAATGGTGAGACTATGTAGAAACATTGTTGAATGTTTAAACTTAAAAACGATTGAAACCTATTGAAAAACGGTCTTTTTATGAAATTTTAAAATAGGAATGATTATTTTTGGGATTGTTCTCGTACTTTCATTTGGCATTAATCCATTACAATGATTGATTACAGCTCAGTAATATCTACATTGATTTTGTAACAATTATCTTAACAGTCATGAGTAAAGTCAATGTTACATAAACTATTGTGGGGAAGGTTAAGGGAGTATTTCGCATATGCATTTTATTGTTCATCATCAATACTAAACAGATACATTGTAAACTTTGGGTTAGAAATTGTGGAATTTGAGTAATTTATATAATAATTTTTACTGTAGGTAGCTCATACTATGCTCGAAACTTTTATACAATTATATCGTTAGTATTTTTTGATATTCTTAATATAAGAACACACGTTACCTTTCAATGTATTGACTGTGCTTTTACATATCATACAGTTTAAGCCAACTCTAATTTATAAAATACAGTTATTTACGTTAAATTTTTGATGCGTATTGAATGTCCTACCATATACATATTCCAAACATATTCCAAATTACGTAAAACTAACTTATGGTTTCCGATAAGTATGATAATTCACAAGGGAGCAGATTCAATCCAGGTGGTTCAGTACGGAGCTAGACAACATCATATTCATTTTTCTGGATGACTGACGCACCTAATAGACATATACCATATTTCCCGTACATTTGCCCTTAAAACTTGACAGAAATGTTTTAGATATACATTTGCTTCTGTTCCCGGCGGCGTGCCGGTTTAGGTATCGGGTAGAGGCGACGTTGTCAGATATCCCTGGTTTAACTGTATGGGCCTGTTTGACTGACTTCACCCATTTAGTTTCTCTGTTATGCATTCATAACCAATATTTTTCTTAGAGGCTCAACTTGTGCTGAAGATAATCCTTTATGAACTGATGACGACGTTGCGTGGGAAATGGATAGTCAATCTACTTTAGGCCGTTTTTTAAAATGTGCCAAGGAAAGTTAATATAAACGAATATGGGGTACTAGTTCATCGTTACCTGTTGAAACCTCTGAAATATCTTTGAGCCACCAGTTAGTACCAGTAATTCGTTGGTACCAACACGCATAATTTTGTCTGAGTTCCAATCTTGCGGTACGAACATAGAAAATCAGTTTACTATACGGTGATCATATACCACTATTTTTTGGGTTTAAACTTCATGTATTAGTTTTCGTCAGAAATTTGTAGTCACATTTGAAATCAGCTCTATATATACTTAACATATTCCACGTCAAAAATAAAATGATTCAAACGGTCACTTTACTTTGCTAGTTATTTCTTTGAAAATATTTCATGCAATCGGATGTGCTGCATATGGATGTCAAAGGGGTTAAATCAGCCACTGCACTGAACTTTTTTAATCAAAGTGAAGAATATGGATTCTCTCATTTCAATAATAGGTGTGCAATGATACTTGGAAAGTACTAGTTTATTCTACCTGAACAGTATACCATGGCGGAATACTAACATCAAAAAATTGAGATACCGTCCCCACCTCATACAACCTCCAACGCCCAATTTTTAACCCCCACAAAGTTTTTTCTGAAAACCATGAGGAGCCTCTGAAACGCCAAGAATGAATTTTGAGCGATTTTTATTTTATCGTGTTTTTATCGCCGCCACTGAATCTATTTTCAAAAACTAAAAAGCTTTTTTGTGTGGAAATTTCATCAAAATCCGCCAGACAGACATGGCGATGGAAATGAGTGACATGATTGCGCGTGATGTACGTGCCATGTAACATCTTAAAAAACGCAATATCTCATTTTCGAAATTTTTCGCAATTGCAATTTTCACTTCCTCGCCCAGTGACGAAGGAAGTAAAAGGAATAAAAAAGTAGCTGGAGTACGTACAAATACGGAAGTGATGAGAGATCTTGATCTTCAAATGATTAGAATGAGTAATTCGGGAGTTTTGGATCTCAAAGCCCTCTTTTGATAGAAGTAGAGCTTTGCAGATATAATAGTAATATTTATTCGCCAAAATACAAAAAATGGGCAAATAAATATAAAAAAAATACAGAAGGCATCGCCTGTACGTGGATTATACTCGTATCTTAATAACTAACAATCAATCATATTTGTATAGCAATGATTATTGTTAATTCTAAAAAGTGTTCATATGGTTTGAATTTTGTAGTTTTAGTTTTCTATATAATTATATATAGTCATTCGCTGTACAGTCCATATGATACTTGAAAACTGAGAGAATTATTTTTAATACCTGAATCAGAAAAAAGGAACTGGAATGAAATTAGTATTCGCTGCATAGAAGGAATACGATGCGCGTTGTATGTATCAAATCTTATGCAAAGTCGTTACCACATTCGTAACATACTTTTTCTTAGAACACCACTAGAATTTTCGTATAAAATATTTCTGCAATAATGATTATCTTTTAGTGTTATCGTATAATGTTACGTTGGTAGCGTATTTAATGGAATAATAAATATATTGCCTGCGTAGAGGCTTCCTCAACAATTGCAAGATATGGTATAGGTAGATATCTAAGATTTTTGACAGAGAATTCAGAAACGCATTTTTTTAGAGAGCTCTTGATGCCCAAATATTAGAACTGATCAATTTGATCGTTCATAACGCTTGGTCCTCTTCGATCGTTGGACGCAATGTAGTTGTGCCGCTGTGCATTGGGGTGTTGATGTAGTCTTTCTTCGCGATGAATATTACTATTACGAACATATCAAGCGGCATTTACCATGTCCCTCAGAACTTTATCGGGGAATATTTGAATAATTTTGATGTTGGACCTCTTGGAACAGCTCCATAGTTGGCAACCATAGAGCCACACTGGTTATAAGATCTGATTATACGAGTGGATCATGATTTTATTATGGAGCGATAGCTTTGAGGATCTTCCTAATAGCAAAAATATTGCTTGTACCAAATATTTAGTTCAACTCTTTTTTGGTATCAAGGGTTATATCTAAATATTTAGCATTTGATTTGATGGTGCGCTTGTTTGAGGAGGACTTGTCAATCTTCGGGTTGTAAAGCAAAAGTAGATCGATTTGAATTAGTTTAATTTGACTTTGCACCTCTGTGTCCTTCACACCAAATTAATGGTTACATTCTGTACTTTACTAACAGAACGTAATAGATCTTTATCAGTTGCAGTCAATGCTGTATCATCTGCAAATACTGCATTTGGTACATCGGTCATAGCAGGAATATCTGATATACCTACAGAGAAATGTCTCACTGACGGGGTAATGTGAGAGAGAAGCGCCTTAAGCGTGCAATACGTATGTTAGAAAGAGTGCGTCGATGGCGACGTGGCAAACCGAAGCTGCGACCGTGGCCTCGTCACTCGAGTTGCTAGGCAACGTGGTGCTTCTCTCTCTTTCTAACATACGTATTGCACGCTTCTCCCTCGTACACTTACCACATCGGTGATACATGAATTTTACTGTATACAGAAGAGTACTGGACCAAGAACACGCCCCTGAGGTACTAAGCATTGATGGACAGCTCGTAATACTCATCTGCTTCCTTAACTCTGAAGATCCCATTTGAGTTATATCCTAATTTCCTCGACATACTATCTTGGAACTAGAGCACCTGTTATTAATAAGTTCTTCCTGCCAAACTTTGTCGCATGCCTGCGCGGCATCCAGAGATAGTGCATTGTAAAATGTTTTCCCCTCTAGAGCCGATTCTATGATGTCAATGATGCGGTACACTTGGTCGATGGTAGAATGCTTATTTCTAAATTCGAAGGGGTCATCTGGGGCAAGTTTGTTCCTTTCTATGATTGGCTTAAGTCTCTTTAGTAACAGTTAGTCAAATAACTTGTATCATATGTTTCAAACGCAGATGAATACAAAAGAACATAGTATCAACAAAGTGACATCTAGTGATGCAGCATATAATATGCGACCACAAACGTCAACAATTTCAAAACACGAGATCTACATCCGAATTCTCCCAACCTTAGTTGGTATTTTTCTTAAGAAGGCATTTCGCATATCTTTGGATCCTAATAATAAAAATGTATTTTTTTACTCGTGAAACACACTGTTTTTTTTTAATAATTAAGGAAATTAACTTGCAGTTTATTGTTACGGATGGAACTAGATAATAGGTTGACAACACGTTGCTGAAAAATTAGCTGAAGAAAAATAATTCTACTTTTTTCGCGGTGTACTCATAAGAACATCATAGTTTCGTTATTATAAAAAGCCAGGCTGTTACAGAAAAATATAGTCCACGAAGTAATCTCAAATCCTTAACAATAAGCAAGAAGGATACTACCTCATCAAGAGACAAAATTTTTCCATCCCCTTCTATAATAAGTGAATTTCAGCCGATTTCTCGGCAACGTGTCAACCTCTTAACTACTTTTAACACATTGAATGCCAGCCTAAGAAATTCAAGGATGTGAATATTTGATTTACTTCGATGCATTCTGCGTCAGGCAAACCTAATATAATTGTCAGAACAGGTACAGAACTCATGACTGACAGCGCTAAACAAGTTAAAAGTAGGTATGTAGTGCCAGTCCTGATGACTGACACGGAACTATTAAAATAGCCAGTTTCAGTCACTAGTTAAACGCCGTGCTGAAGGTATTCCAATATATACAAGATTTCCTCAATTTTTCATAAAAGTACAGTTCCTACGTATCCTCGCATCGTTGGAACTGGTTCATATTGATCAGTTTCCTGATAGGGAAAGAGTATGGTGCTGACGCTACAGTGATGTTGGAAAAAGTTCTAAGAAGACCAACTTGCCAGGATTTGTTTCCCTACGACTATAGCGTCTGGCGAAGGTAACATGCATTGCTATGAGGCAACTATCATCACTAAATTCTCGGATGCTCGATATAGCAGAGAAGAATCCCTAGATCGCAACGTTGTCAAATGGTTGGGAACTGGATACTAATTGTATGGACCTATTTTTGACTGACTTGATACATTGAATTCCTTTGTTATAGATGTTCGTAGTTCTTCGTATTCCTGACATAACCATTTATGAACTGATGATAACGTTGTGTGAGAAGTGCAGAGTCTTGTCCGTAGTGTTGAGCAGGTGCTAAAGTTAGTTTACCGCCTTAGGACGTGGGCTGAAGAGTAGGATTTGACGGACCGGTCGTAATGTTATTTTCGAGTAACTTATGTGTCATAGCTTGTTAGAGCGATAATGGTACTTTGAAATGGATTTGGTTTACCCAGCCTATTAGTGGTTCTAGATCTTCCATACGTGGATAAGTGGAAGTACATATAATAAATCGAGACAACATGCTACTGAGAATCTGATTTTAAATTCCAAGTTGACCATTAGAAGACGTAAGTATCGACAAATAACAATTTATATAGATTTTTGTGCAAATTAACTCCATAATAGATTTTCCGTAGTTAACGGTGATGCTTTTTTAACTGGGTGAACAGTTTCAACAGGTGAAATGATTATAGCAGTAGAACTTATATTGTATGTTCTGATAACCAAAGAAATAAATGCGATATGCGTATTTTTGAGTACTCAAATCTATTGTGGTATTTAATGGTAAACTGAACAACTGCAATCTACATTTAAACTGTCTGAAACTAAGCTATTAAAGACGTCTGTGGTTTTTCCAAAGATATGGAGTATAATAGTTTGCACGGGTATATAGGGAAAACCAAATTTGTCTGATGGCTTGAGCTCAATGTGTACGAGAGAGAAGCGCCAGAAGTGTGCATCAACACATATTAGAAAGAGATAGAAGCCGGATGAAGAGCAAAGTTCATTCCCTTACTGTTTAGCGACGGTGACGCAGAAGGTCGTGCAATCTGCCGCGTTGCCGATATGTTACACCAGAAAATGTTCGCCCAGGCTTCTTCGATAGATTATGTTACTGTCAAACTCAAGAAGGAGGTATGCTGTGTTTGATTTCCACAGATGGTGATAAAATCAACACATCCTGAGTTATTGTTACATTTTGAGGGTTGGGGAGGGAATATCTCAATTTTTTGATGCTACATTTATACGCTCACAACCTTGGTAATTCTACGCACCTATTAGACACACATCATATATTTCTCCCTTGAAACTTATTAAAATATTCTCAGTAGACGAATCGCGTTCCTACCGGCCGCGTCTGCTTTGCTGCCGGCGGCGTGTCGCCGGCCTTGGTAAGTGTTCTGGTATTACACGTATTACTGCCGTGCCATAGAATAGTGTTTCCTATGCTGTGGCCACGCTGTCATGTCTGACTGCGTTAGGGACCAGGGAGAGGCGACGTTGTCAAATGAACTACCGGTAGGGCAGGGAAAGAATGTCTGTATACTAATTGTGTGGACCTGTTTGACTGACTCTTTTCTCAGAGGGTCTAGTTTGTGCTAGAAAGAATCCTTTATTAATTGATAACGGCGTTGCGTGGGAAGTACAGAGTCAACCTACTAGACGCCATTTTGTTCCTCAAATTATTCAAGAAATCACCACCTGAAGTTTGGTGAGGTGCATACTTTATTAACACCCTGTATAGTAATCTTATTTCCCCGTGGACTTCTCAGTATTATGAGATAATATTTGGACATAGCATCAACCATCCAAGATTGTCCTTCAATGTCCCTCGTAATTATTCGAGTGTCGAGAGATCTTAATTCTCTATGTGTCTAAACAGAACAGCAATTTATATCAGAATTTCCTCTCAACTAGAGGTATCAGGTATTTTATTGCGTGACACTTATGTCGTAGTGAAAACTTTCAAGGAAATTTATTTCTCGATATCTATAATGATATAAATCTCTAGTACAAACGTACCTTAAGATTTCGTACTCTCACAATTTCTGAACGACATATAGGAAATCCCATGACCCACGGAAACAGAGAGATGGAAACGTGGCGCCTGAAGCGGGCTGTGAACAATTGATAAGAGTATTTTCTGTATTACATTCCTTTGCTCTTTCTGAACAAAAAGAGCATTTGTAAATTATTTCTATAGTTGATAGGTATGTATCGAGTTAAAAATATCTTTTAAGTCTGATCAAATTTCGTGAGGGCGACAGGTTGGTCCTTAAATTGTTGAGTTTTTCACGGAGATAATTGTGGAAAAAATCTAATGTGGATATTTTTTTCAATGGTACCGCCATTTTGTCCGTGTCTGTATACTTGAGTGTCCGACCTTTGGGCATCACCAAATTGTCTACAATCATTATGTATGTATGTAACGTACTTATTTATGCTAAAGATATCAGTGGAATACACCGAATTACAACCTTAACCTGTGCGTGCGGCAGTTCAGTTTCTTTAATGAGCAATGCATGCTAATAGTTATGGGTGATTTGGTCAAGAGCCCCCAATGTAGCCTCACTATATCTCGACCAATGATTTTTAATACACTTATACGATTTCTGTGTTTTCAGAGCGGCTTTGATAGTCGAATATAAAAAATGATTTTCTGAATTTTCCTGTGTCTCCTTACAAACTAATATTTATCACTAGAGGCAACCCATTGATGTTTTTTAGATAGGGACGACTTCAGAGTTTTGTGCGAACTGAAGCAAAAGATAAAATATGCGCCCACCCCTCATATTAATTGAGAATTTTGCTCTCCCTCATGACACGGCGCCCTGAGGCAACCTGTAGCCGGCACTGCCTTTAAGATGACCTTAACGTAATACTATCACTAAGAAATCGCGCAAGTGCTCTTAACACTGCACAAGTTTATACGGATTGGTCATCTTCGATCGTCGTACAGAATCCAGCAGATTAAGCAATCAATAGGATGTATCCAAGACTAGTTAGTTACAAATTTAGGATACGAACGAGATGATGAAAATAATAGAATATAACAATAAACGTGAAAACCACAAACCCATCTTAGAAGGTTTCGAAGTACCACTCTGTACCATTTCATTTTTTACTACAAGGGCAGTACGTAAACAATTCGATATGGGCAACAATGTCAGGATAATATTAAAGCCACTTACTTGGTGACGAAGCGACAACGAGTTATCCTCCTTTGCAAAGCGATAAGGGCGATATGATCGGATTGTCGGGGCCTACGCCTACTTTTAGAAAAAGACTTATGAATATCTCCCGTATTCGACCGACTCATGACATCACATGCACAAATCTACTATTTACCATTACATTAGTGTACCACAACTATTAGTAAGGATTCGTCACACAGACTGAATCATGGGATCGTCACACAGACTGATCCTGACCGTCACACAGACAGACTAGGAATCGTCACACAGACTAACTCTTTAGTCGCTAGGTGTACGGACAGACGTGCCGAGATGAATGATTCTTACAAAAAGACAGTCCAGAAATCGGGATATCACGTTGCCGTGTCAATACCCCAAAGGTCCGACATTACTCCTGAATCAGAGATAACTGAGGAAGATGACTATTATCAAAGTAACAATCCGTTCACACATCCTGTCATGAGATACATTCAGACTCCAGCTAAAATTTTAGTAACTATAATAAAAAGGGCATCATATATTATGTGAAAACATTATCAGCATAACACACATACTACAATACAAGTACATAATTACATTCCATCTGATAACTAATTAATTAGATTCTCCATTGTTGACCGTGATTGATTCAAGATGAATTGATTTAATGCTTTTTTGAATGGCGCCAAGTTGTTGATATGTCGTACATTTGAAGGAAGAGTGATGTACAGCTCGGGAGCAACATAAACATATGAACGCAGTGCAAGACACTTTTAGAGAAAAGGTATGCCATGGTGATGTTTTTGCTCTATAGGGTATGGGTGTCTTGGCAGCACAAAGTTTTGAAGTCCTGTTTATGGCTGTGATGAAGAGTTTCTGCATTGGGGTGTTGAGCCTTTATTCGTGCCTGGCCGCTCCTTTCTTGACCTCGTCGGTTACCAAAGGGATATTCAAATCCCAATAAACATAACCAACATACTAAGGGAGACTGACTATGTTCCTCAGAACTTTATTTTGGAACACTCTAAGATAAACATCTATATAAAAGTATAACGTCATATTATGAACCTGTAGATAGAAAATAAACAAGTTCTCAGATTTTTTTACTCTAACGTGGTTGGGAAATCATCAATTGGAACCGCGAGCACAATTTTAAGGCTGACCAAGTTCAGTTTTTTCAAACGCAAAATTAAAATTCCCGAACACATCTCGTCGATAGCGGCAGCTGCTTAGGAAAAAGCTAGTCTATTTGTTTCGTACTTTTTTCCTCATGACCTCCTCACTCTGTACAAGGCCCAGGTAAGACCTAGCCTAGAGTACTGCTCAGATGTTCGGGGTGCTGCCGCTCCAACTACGTTATCCATGCTAGATGCTGTTCAGATGAGGGCTCTCCGACTGATCAGTAACTCTTCTCTAACGGACAGTCTTCTATCGCTTCGCTAATGGGCGTGGCTTTTCAGAGTTCTCCATGATGTTGTTGCGTGTTGTTTGTCAGATAGGTTCGTTTAACTTCGGCCTCTCATCCTAACCGTGTCGAAAAAAGCGGATTAACAAAGTGTCTTTAATCTCTTCATAGTAGTCGCGGTGCCCTGACATTTAGGCGTGGCTGATTCGGTGTAAAAAAATCATGATTATCAGTATCAAAACAACCACCTAACTGGCACACTCCGTCCATTCTGCTCTTCTCCTATTCTTTCCCCATTTCTTCCTGACTTGGCTGACCTCTGGGGGTGTATTATTTGACGCATCATTATAGTTCTATTAGAGAAGCTATCATTTGACCTACAAGCAATACCAAATTAGCTGTAAGTATAATTTAATATGCGCTATACGCACAATTGATATGCGATCAGTGATACACACCATACACAAAGTACAACCTTAACCTGTGTGCGGCAGTGCAGTTCCATTGAGGAGCAATTCGTACACCACTACCATCCAACTTTTGGTGTGGGCGATTTGGCCAAAACGCCAAAAGCATGAAAAGCAGTCTCACATCGGCTATCTCTGGAGAGATTTGTTTACAGTCCGTTTCATTCGCTCGCTGACATGTGCTCGCCGCTGTTGTCGATCGCCGCTGTTTCTGCTGGTACTGCTTCTGGTACTGAATGACTGTATAACGGTGTCGTTGCTCAAAGATGAGCCTAATGGTTTATGAACTATAGTGTGTTCGTATTCTATATGTACTCTATGTGTATATTTTTGTTTATTTAACAGGTAAGTTTTCCTTTTATTCTCTCATGCGAGTGTGAATGAAATTATAAACTTCACTCATGTTTGATTTGATCATGAAGTGCCAATTTGTGTTCTAATTTGTATGAATGAAAATAATTTCGCATTGAAGAATATTATCAGAGTAATTGAGAGTGAATTAAAAAACAATTTATATGACAACAATATTCGCAAAAATGACTGTTGTATGTCAATAACTGTTTGTTTACTATTAAAAAAGGATGTCAAACTCTGCGCAATAAAAATTTGGATGCAAAAAGCAATACCCAGATTCTTCACATCAATTCAACTTTTAATTCCCTTCTGTCGTAACAAAGTTTATATCATCCCGTAATTTAGGGAATAGTTAAAAAGAATATTTAGAAAATTTGCAGGATTTCTTGGACCTTAGCAACCAATATTAAATCACGCTTTGGCATGACCCGACATAATCTCAAAGACCTTTGGTGTTTCGTTTTCGCGCAGCTAAAACATTCTTGGACTACAGGCAGATATGTTCGAATAAATGGTGTCAAGTAGTTTGACTTAGTTCTTCCACGTAATATAATACATTTTTGTTTAACATTGATTTCAAATTTTTCAACACTATATTTTTTTCAGTTTTGGCGCTCAGACAAGTGTTTTACTTACTGCCCCAAAAATTATTATATTAAAATTTTAAATTAAATTTATTGTGGAGATGGTTCTCAGCTATTCTTGGGGAAATAGAAGTAGTCGTCTTCATACTCTTCATTGGAACTATGATCTCTCACTAAATGAGTATCAACACGAGATTGATTTAAGGGTCGGTGGTTTTTAATTTATCCAGTAAGTGTTCGTGGCATTTGAGTAAACTAATAACTTCAGAAAACTTTATTGGGAATAGCCTACGGAATTTGACTCTGTAGATTAAGGTCAAAAATCGTGTTGAAACGGTCCTATTTTTAAAAATTCTCAGAGGGCAATATGAACTTAATAGCCAAAATAATCACCACTTGAATGTTTGGCACATGTTTAAAAAACACTTTGTATGTTATTGACATCTCTACTTTCTCACAGTATGCTAACATGATCGCTTTGCATGGACACTATATGTAAGCAATCAAGTTGATGCCAAAGCAACAACGATGATCAGTATTCTAAAATATTGAAACATTTTAAGGAATTTTACTAGATATCTTCGTTTTCCTAATTACTAATATATCAGAATTATTAAAGTCTCAAATTTTTGATATCTCTATGGTGTGAAGCTTTTTGTCCAAGAAGGATGGTTATGCTTACGATATGGTAAGTATTGCATCGATTCGATTCACACAAGTCCATCTGCTTATTCTATATAGAAAAAATATGACGTATTACAATAAGTATTAGCATTGTAATACTCATATCATATAACCATCATTCCCAGGTAGCAGGAGGCGATTTATGTTGGACATATACGTATAGTGCTTTTAAAAAAGGACCCCTTTTTTATTTTTTGAACAGGTTAAGTTAGCAAGCTGATATTCGAGGTGGTGGTATTGGTGCATGTATACCAATTAAAATGAAAAAGTGATATTTTAAGTCCGTTATCCATCCTGGAACATTTTTTGAAGAAATGGGAGAAAACTGCTTATCTGATGGATAATCAGTTAACTACTGGCTCCTTGTGGGACTTATCCAATAATTTGTAATAATTCGATTTATTTTAAAATTTTTTGGTTGTCAACAAGAAACTTAGAAATTATAGACTCAAAAAACTCTCAATGTGCATAATAAGCAGTATGTTAAGGAAGAAAAATATAATTAATACCAAACTGATTTATTTGCTATTATGGTTACAAGGCTTACTGGCGAGGGAATTGAAATGAGTTTTAACCCATTTTTCTGCATGGAAGGAGAAGCAAACATTTATATATATATATATCCCTAATTATATAACCATAACGAAAATATCTGGCTAAAAATTGTCCTCTGGTTTCGATGCAACACATTTACTTGTTGATGCCCGGTCACATGACTATAAGGTGAAAATTGATTCAAGTTAATTTTTTTTTTATATCGAAGCAGAAGCCTAAATGCAGGAACACCGCGCCTGCTATGATGATCCCAAATAAATTTTGTTAATACGATTTTTGAACTGCCTAAGGTTAGTAGAACTGGGAAAACCTTCCTCTTGTAAATTGTTCCACCCTCGGGACAAACGAGCGGTCTTATCGGCCAGTTCTGGATGTACGAAGTTCGACACGGTTAGGCTGGGACGCCAAAGTCAGGCGGGTCTGCCTGGCAGGCACATCGCGCGACGGCATCATGGAGAGAGCTCTGAGGAGCAGAGCCCGTTGGTGTAGCGGTAGAAAAGAGCTAGATCGCCGACGGCCTGCCGGTGCGAAAGGGTCCCGAGACTGTCTGTTAGAGAAGAGTCATCGATCAGTCGGACCGTCCTCCTCTGGACAGCATCGAGCATGGACAATGTAGTCGGGGCGGCAGCACCCCAAACGTGTGAGCAATACTCAAGGCTAAGCCTTATCTGGGCTTTGTATAGAGTGAGAAAGTCATGCGGAGAAAAGTACTTCTTAGCCCTAAGCAAGTAGCCTAGCTTTTTCCCAGCAGCTGCTGCTATTGACGAGATGTGTTCGTGCCAGATCAGGTCCTCGGTGATCTGGACTCCGACCAGCCAAAAGGAATGGCTCTTTGGCAGAACTCAGCCATCCATCGAAACCGGATTAGCGCTAGGACGCTTTTTGTTCGTCAAAGTACAGTACTGTGTTTTGGAAGCATTGAACTGTACAAGATTGTTGCGTCCCCAAGCAGTGATAGCCTCCAGGTCTCTTGTCAGAGAGGAAGTCGTCGCTAGTCTTTTTCTTTCCAGCTCAGAGGCAGAGATCGGCTTGTCACTCTGAATTCCTGCATGTAGAGTGCTGTCATCAGCGAAGCTGTGGATTGGGTTGATCGTACAGGAAAGGAGGTCGTTGATATGTAAGAGAAACAATGTCGGAGCCAAGACCGATCACTGGGGAACACCTGCGTTGACGTTATGGGATGAAAAGGAGAACCCATCAATTACGACGGATATCTTGCGGCCAGAGATAAAGTCAGCCACCCATCTGCAAAGCTTTTCTGGAAGGCAATAGGATGGAAGTTTGCTTAAGAGGGCAGCGTGCCACAGCTGATCGAGCGCTTTCGTGATGTCAAGAGCAACGACATGAGCCTCACCATAAGACTGGATGAGTTTACTCCACAAGTGCTTGACGTGAGCTAGGAGGTCCCCTGTAGATCGTTGGTGCCGAAAACCATACTGCCTGTCGCTAATCAAGCTGTGACTTTCGAGGTAGTCCAGAAGCTCGCGATTTATGCACTTCTCCATCACCTTACTTATAACAGAAAGCAGAGCTATTGTCACCAAATATGTCAGGGCTATCGGTGAGAGCAGCTTCAACGCCTTGTTAGTGATTTGATCCTCCCGAGGTGCTTTACGCACCTTGAGGTATTTAATATGACTTACTAGCTCCGCTGGTGTGCAATGTGGAAACTCGGAGTGTTCCGCTAATGTACTATGTGGAGCGTCAGACGAATCTTCTGAAGAAGAGTCATCTGAAGAGGATTCAGTTCCTCCGCTAACGCCGTTGGCCCTAAAATATCTCCTGACGGATCGTACGATGTGTTCCTCGTTGAGGTCATTATCGAGATCATAGTTGGGAGAGAACTGTTATTCCATGGCATCAGCGAAAACCTCGACCTTATCCTCCGTTCTGAAGACTATGCCTTCAGGACCGTGGATGTGCGGGAGTTGTTCTCGCTTTCCGTTTCTGACTGACTGTGTGACCCTCCAGAGAGGAATACTTGAATCAAGCATTCCCGCCAACAAGTCGCTCCATTGCTCGTTGCGGAGTTCGTGCAGTGCGTTTCTCACTTCATGGACAAGATTTGTAGCCCTACGAATGTCATCAGGATGTGTTCGGCAGTGTATGTTCGGTATCGAAAGGTTTCGATACTTGTGGTAAACGATACGATACTTTTCGTGAACTCATACTAAGGTTCATTGAAACCAAGGACACAGTCGCGGCGGCGAGTCGCTCTTGTCATTATTTTGCCAATGCGGTCCCGCACTTTGATGCCTTCAGTCGTCAACGTTAAAATTATAATACGAACTTACAGCAAAGTAGAGTTTCCCACTAAATAAACTATTTTTTTCATTAAAATTTCTTACTTTGAATTGATATATAAGTATTTGCATTGGCACTAAAGTAACAATTTTGTTCATTTTACTTAAAAAATAGGTAGTGACGCTAGGAAAGCCAATGGCTCCTGTAAGGCCGATCAAAAAATTGAAGGAACATCTAGGAATCACAAACATATGAGTACTTAGTTTTTAGTTGTAGTTTAAGTAGTATAAGCAGATATTTTGATCGCATTAGTTTTAAGTTAAATGGCTGATTTACTATATTTTCTTTGTATGGAGCCTTGTTTCTTGCACGGCCATTAAGAAGAGCTTAATAAAGCTTGCGTTCAATAAATAAGGATTAACTTATCAAAAAAAGTAAAGTTTTATAGGTTACATAATAAAACAGTGTTAATAATTTGTTTGATTAATTTATAATTTATTCAGTAAATATGTAACTGTTTATTTGTTAAGGGGATTTTCCAACGTCAACCTTCTTTATTATATAGTAGAGATAAAAACAAATGGTAAGAGATATTTACAAAATATATACTGTCATTGTCATTTTCTGATTTGTACTTTGAAAAAGGCTATCAAGGTGATCGCAACGTTAGTAAACATTCCAACATACGTGGTTTTCTTTGACGGCTAGCAAAACGATCTCAGCTTTCCTACAACCTCCATGTTGAAGGATCTCGCAGTAAGGTTTAAATAACTCAAAAACTATTAAAAAGTAACAGGCTATACTTATTAATAGCATGCTATACGTTTCCTGTAATGGCCCATAACAATCAAAATTTAGTACTTATGTATTGCGATACTGCATTATCAGAAACAGTCTCGATATGATTATTACTGCAGAACTTGCAAGGTAGAGTTTCTAATATTGACTCATTTGGTAGTGTTTTGTTGACGGTGCTGTTCGGAGTCATAGCCAGTTCAAAACTTGTAGAAACACGGCACTTGAGACATTATTCTCGCTAAAAGCAACCCGACGACAAATTGACTTCGATATTCGATTATGTCGCGTTACCAGTAAAGCAACTTTTAAGTGAATGGTGGTCTCGTTTTGAGGTTGTTGATGAAGCTATTGAATACCTACTTATTAATAAGAAGGTAGAAGATAAATAGGATATTTTGGTTCTTAAAAGTTCAGATTGAAGTAAAATGGCATGATTCACGTGTTTCACAAATAAAATCTAGCCAGAAAAATCAATCAACATGTGTAATATTATTTTTTATCAAAAACTCCCAATATATAACAAATATATGATCAATGAAGAAAGTAATACCTTTTATTGAAAAATATTTCGTGAGTCTGATGTTTACTCGCTCATTATAACTTGGTTGTTATACAGGGTGCGGCAGAGAGGACGGACGCCTCCGTCTACGAGAGAGGTGGGGAGTGTGCCGTTGGACTCGTGAGATCCTAGCATTATTTTACCAGTTGTCGTTATGGATCCTTGGACGGTGGAGCACCGCGTTTTCGCCTATGAGGGACGAAGCCCACTTTCACCTAAACGGCATGGTTAACCAGCAGAATTGTCGTTATTGGGCTAATGAAAATCCGCAACAGTTACACGAAAGACCGCTGCACAGCCCAAAAGTAACGGTTTGGTGCGCTGTATCGCAAAATTGCATCATTGGCCTTCGAAGACGCTAATGGTCGTGATGTTACCGTGAACTCAGAGCGCTACGTCGACATGATTACCAACTTATTTCTCCCTGAATTACGACGGCGACGTGTTCCAATCCGACGTGTGGGGTTCCAGCAGGATGGGGCGACCGCCCACACAACCCGAGCATCCATGGACGTTATTCGCCCTCTCTTCCCTGGTCGCCTTATTTCCAGGTTTGGCGATGTTCATTGGCCTCCTCGGTCCCCAGATTTATCCATATGCGATTTTTTCTTATGGGGACACCTCAAGGCTAGAGTATACGCGAACAAGCCCCGAACTCTGGACGAATTGGGGGCGAAATTCGCGTGGAAGTCGCCCAAGTTGAGAGAGCGATGTTGGAGAGAGTCTACGTGAACTTCCAAGAACGCCTCCAGCACTGCATCAACGATTTCGCCCACCACATGCCTGATGTGATTTTCCACACTTGACTGTCTCAAATGCTATTTATTTGTGAACCTGATTCCATCAATAAATTTGTTTTCGAGTTAAAATGAACTATTTTATGATTTTTTTAAAACCGTCCATCGTCTCTGCCGCACCCTGTACATTTCCTATCAAGTGTAACGCTCCTGGAAGGGTTTCAACACTGTTGCTCCAACCGAATCACCTTAAAGAACCCAAGAACGCGATAGAGAAGTATTATTCTCTGATGTTTTTTTGAGGATTCGTTCGGAAGGTTAGCTGAAGTATCACAATAGCAACCACAGACAATATCTTCCATCAACTGGTAGGCAGCTCTAAACCGACTAGAGACGATTGCTGGTCGCGTCGCCATCTCTTTGTGAGAACAAGAGTTGGCTTGCCATCGGATTGCAGTTGCTTTTGGTGAGAATTGTTCCTAAGACTTGCAGGCGTGGCTTGGTATTGGTACTAGGGTATGAAATTTTTGGTATCAATTTTACTGGGCTATTTGGTTTAGAATTCAACAAGAAGCTGTTTGTGACTATTCTTAAACTGTGATGTCCTTTGACTATTTTTCTGAAAACCGATTCGAAGGTACAGTGTAAAAGAAATGTTAGACATATTCTTTAGCATGATTTTTGAACTCTTTGATGGGTCAAGCAACTTGAAAAAGTTTACAAAATTTTATTATGAAAATTGGGCAAGACATAGGTATTAATTTGTTCGCTTCAAAGCGAAGCGGTTTTTGAAAATCGTAAAAAAAGGAAAGGAATTACCCTTTAAATGTTTGGTTCATGTTGATATTGACACCTCTATTTTTCCAAAGTACATATGATGACTAACTGCATTGTCTTGCATGGATAGCGCTTACGTTGATACATTCCAAAAGGCACCTCTAAGATATTTTGGAACTACCAAAACAACAAAACAAGTTGGACCTATTTTTGGACGGTGGCCTACACATCTATACTTTGATATGCAACATATTAATAATATTAGCTGCATATTAATTACAAAAATATATTTAAATACGCGTGTGTATGACAATGGCAGTGACATTGTCGTTTGATCTAATTTAAATTGTTACAAACACTAATCCTCTATATTTGCATAAATCTTATTGTTTTAAAATGTGAACGTACATAAGAATGCCATTAATTTTTTTCATGTGTAGGAGAGCATTAACATAATATTTTGGAGAACTAGACCATCGCTTCGACATCACTAGCAAATGTAAATCGCGCGTTTTAGTTTCCTGTAGTATTAGTTAAAGGTACAGATGCCAGTTTAGACCACTTTTGAAGTCAGGCATATTCAAATCTTATGCCTTGCTGGTACAGTCTTAAATGGTCATGCGAAACGTAGTGTGTGTGTAGTAACGTATGTCCTAAAAGTTTTGGCACAACATATTAATCGAATTTTTATTTAATGAAGAAATTTATTTGAACACTGACTAGTTATCATAAATTACAACTCAATACTTCACTAAGCTATACTATCGAAGTATGTGGAGTGGCTTATTCTGCTCTACCAGATGCATCTTTCTTTGAATATCTCTCATGAGGTTCTAGACGGAATTTCTCTCAATTTTTCGTAGTTTTGCCGTCTTAATTGTTCTTCATTTTGGGCTTCCCAGCCTCTATGGTAAACCTTCCTAGACAATAGAGCTCACAAACCCTCTATTGGACAAGCCGGCGGCAAGTTTGGAGGATTATCGTTTTTGGGAACAAAAGGTATGTTGTGTTGTTTAAGCCAGTTTTGGGTATCTCTTGAGTCTTGAGTACTGCCATGATGCTACGTCTGGCCAGAACATGATATGGTCATTAGCATGATGTTCGTGGACAAACTGAAGCAATTTGAAAAGGCAGTTATCATTATAGCTCAGACTATTGAAAGCTTCACCATTCGCTCCTCTCATAAAAGATTGGGATACACTCCTGTTAGAAATTGCGCACCAAACAAGGATTTTATCTACAAATTTTGCTTTATGCTGAAATATAAAATTGTCTGGTCCGTATAAAATCCGTCGTTTCTCTTCATTTCAGAATTACTCAAAGTGACATACTTTTCGTCATCTAAAATAATGATTTATCCATTGGCAAAGTGTACAGCCTCAGTTGACGACAGCATCTTGGTATACGAACGAGTTGCGCTTGAGATTATTTGGGGCACTTAAGTCTGTTCCGATATTTAAGATCATTTTTTCTCAATTCGAACGATATCGTACTCTTAGAAGATCTGTATTGACGAGCCAGTCTCCTTGTTGACATTCCAAACTGATTTTTTGCTCTTCTCACCAACCTCTCTCCTCTGTGCAGTAAATGCATGTGGTCTTCCACTTTTTGGGAGATTCAGACATAGTATTTCCCTGCTCGCACTCCGCTATTGTTCGATAAATGGTTTTGCGTGAAATGTGTTCATCCTGGAATATTCGACTAATTTCAGCTTTGGGTAGAGTAAAGTTGGTGAATGTGAAATAGGTAGGTAGAGTGGAATAGACAAATATCTTCAAAACTAGTAGCGGCATCTGCACTTCGATGGCATTATTTACTCTTGTATTAGTAGCGTAACTATCTGATTCAAGCTATTTTATCGATTAACGCGCATAACCTCAAAAAAGTTGGTAAAACCGGTAAACGTGATTATCGAAACATTGAACTGGCTGCAATTTTTGTGTATTTCTAGGTAAAGTACAACTTTGTTCTAATTATTACTATTTGTTATTAAGGCTCAGATACATGCATTATCAAGTTATGTGTGAATTCATTATAAAATTTATGTTTATACATGCTAGCTGTAAACTTGAGATTAAGTTAAGGTGGGATGGTATTGTGGAATATTTCACAATATCAACCATACGAGTGTTCCACATTATCGGACCTATTGCTTAAGAATATTGAATTTGTTTATGTTTTTGACCATATGTGTTGTTTCATTTCAGAAAATGCCTTCTTAAGGAATAAAACAACACAACTGGTCAGAAAATAATATGTTAGAAGCAGTTAAGGCAGTACAGAGTAAAAGAATGGGCTATCTTCTCGCTGCAAAGACTTTTAGCGTTCCACGGGCTACCCTCTTCAGATATTGTCAAATTCATAAAGATGATCAAAATCTAAGAAAACATAAACTAGGAAGAAAACCAATATTATCGCAAGAATTAGAGCAAAAGCTAGTTGAATATCTTATAATGATGGATAAGAAATATTTTGGTCTTACAAGAAGGGATGTGCGTTCAATAGCCTTTCAGTTGGCAAAACTGAACAATATTCCTAACCCATTTTCACTGCTCAGTGAATCAGCAGGAAAGGATTGGCTCAAAAGGTTTTTAAAAAGGCACGAACATGTACTTAGTGTTAGGAAACCGACCGGCACCTCCATAGCTCGAGCAACTGGATTCTGCAAGCATAAGGTTGCTGAATTTTTTGACATCCTGGAGAACATGATGGACGAGAAAAAATTCCAGGCCAATAGGATTTATAATGTTGACGAGAGTGGCCTTTGCATAGTACAGTCAAAGTGTCCCCATGTCATATCTGTAAAGGGCAAGCGTCAAGTGCAACTTCAGCTGAACGTGGATCTTTAATAACAGTTGTCTTGTCTATGAACGCAGCTGGCAACTTTGTGCCACCAATGATCATTTTTCCAAGAAGGAAGGGCAGTGAATAACTAAAAAAAGGAGCACCACCGGGGACAATATTTCGCTTTCATCCATCCGGGTGGATTCAATCAAATCTTTTTACAGATTGGTTCAATCAATTTATTGCTTTTACACAGCCAAGCGAAAATAATCCTATATTGCTGATTCTAGATGGGCATTACAGTCACACCAGAAATTTGGATGTGATTTTAAAAGCTAGAGAAAAGCATGTAACTATTTTATGTTTACCTCCAAAAACTACCCACAAGTTACAACCTCTAGATAAAACTGTGATGTCAGCATTGAAAACGTATTACAGTGAAGAAATCAGGATATTTTTAAGAGCAAATCAAAGAGCTGTAACTCATTTTGACATATCTGAGCTATTTGGCAGGGCATACCTGAAAGTGCAAACTGGAGAACGCGCGGTCAAGGGATTTGCTGTTACGGGCCTTTATCCAGTAAGACGCAACGTTTTCACAGAAGACGACTATTTTGCAGCAGAAGATAATAGTGAACATAAAGAAACAGGAGATGAACCCGTGTTGAGAGAACAAATCCAGAATGAAGAGACATCTCCTGGATCAGAAACCCTGGTACTCCCTGAAGATATAATGAAAATACCAAATCTAAAAAAGAAACATTCTAATAGGGGAAGAAAATCAGGGAAAGCGAAAATCATTACATCTACACCGAACAAAGATGAACTTGAAGCTTCTATAAGCATCTCAAATAACAAGAAAAAAGAAGTGAAGAGAAATCTGGCTAATCCATGCACTACTTCATCTAGGCAAGCAACTAGCTCTAAAGGTCATCCATCCAAAAGACAAAAAAAACTCTCAATAAGTAGTTCGGAATCAAGTTGCACTCCCTCGGTTCACGACTCTTCAGATGACGAAAATGATATCTCCATTCAAAATACCAGTGGTGATGCAAGCTGCATATTTTGCGAAGGAAAATTTTCAGAAGATGTACGCGGGGAAGTCTGGGTTAGATGTGAGATTTGTAACAATTGGGCGCATGCAGAATGTGGAGGAGTGGAGAAGAAAGATATTTATATATGCGATTTGTGCAAGTAAACCAAAATATATAGATATGCAAATTTTGACATCGTTTGGTTCCTTCGTTGTTTTATAGAATATACATTTATTTATTTTTGTTCACCAGTTTTAAAAACGCTGTACTATGTTTTATAGACAAAAACTATGTAGCAATTTTGGTTGTGAAATATTGTTCAATGTTTGTACAAACCAACAAAAATATTATTATTCCACATTACCATGCCTTATTCCACATTACCAAGCCATATTCCACATTAGCAAACCCTAGTATTCCACATTACCATACTAATTTTCGATGGCTACATATTACATGCTTCGAATATTTTCATTTTTACAAATGCATGGAGTAAATATATGCGACCTAAATTATTTCAGCTATTTGACAGAACCTCACAGATATCAGAACTACTTGATTTATTTGAATGCCTCAAATTAGTATAGAATTATAGGCTTCAAATGAAAAGTATTCCACATTCACCAACTCTACTCTACCCTCCCAACCAACTTGTCGATACTTTTTCTTATTTCTAATTTATACATCTTAAAGCGAAAAATACAAAATAAATAAATGTCAACTGACAGTAAAGTAAGTGAACAAACTTTTGTTTCCAAAGGCAACTTGATATTATTTTGTGTTTCTTAGAATTAAAGCCAATGAGTTTTGTGCAAAAAATTTTAGGACCTGTGTTACCAGATCATCCGTTTTCATTGCCGCATTCCGCTAATTGCTTGAAGAGTAAAATCAAGCTAATTTTCATTTTTCTGCGTGTGCCGTCTTGCTCGAAGAAAAGACTGTGTGCGTGAATGCTTGACGACTACAAGATGTCGGAGTCAGATTCCACAAACACTACATCTTACATGACGACTTACTTGCAAGCAAAATGAAGGATTAGCTTGAGTGTCTATGCCAGCTTTATAGTCTAATGGTGTTAGCAAGTTTCACCGAAATAATTGTAATTTTTTATTTTATCAATGCAAGTTGTTCGGGGGATATTTGAAATATGAGCGCATTAAATGAGTACGTTAATTTTTTGAAGGAAAGCATTTTATTCAAAGATAACGATTGAGAAAAGGCGTTTGTTGGAATTCAATTGAAAGTGCTGTCATGAACGAAAAATAAGATTTTTAGGTACTCAGGAGACCTAAAAAATGAGAATACACGTAAAATGAACTAATTAAAAGCAAACAAGTTATGGCTTAAGTCAGGTTTTGGCACTTATCCGTAATATGTAATGGGTAACACGACTATAATCTCACGCAGATACTTTTTTTTTCAAATCTGTATGTCTCATACTCCTTAATAACCACAACAAAATTGGAGTCAATCGGTGCAGTAATTTTTGAGAATCTACAATTGTTTATCACAAATCGCCTGCTTTCCAACCACCATTACCACTTGATGGAAAAACATTCGTTCAGATAACATTTTATATCAAAATACAACAATTTACCTCGCCGATATGAATCAAAAACTATTTCGCAAGCTGAATCTTATTTTTATGCTAAAAATAGGTAGTTAGTTTTTTTTCGCATAAACAAGTTCAAACATTTCATTTTTTTAAGAAATTGAAGTGATATGTTACGGTATCCGAAAAACATACGTTATTATGCACTTTTTAAAAAAATGCGGACGTGTCTACAACTTTTTTTGCAAAATTGAGCCGTTTATAAAAATAATTTCATATTGAAACGCCCTGAACTGCTTAAAAAGTTAATACGCAAACTGGAGACAATTGTGATGGCTGCATGACTTTGTCAAATAAGTAGTACCAATAATACGAGCCCCTTCCCACTTCAGTTGGCCCAACTATTGAAATCTTAGTTTTTTTCTTATCAAACACAAATAATAAAAATGTAGCAGGGTGTTATAGGTTTAAAATATTAACAATGAATATTTTGATAATATATAGTAGAAAACACCAACTTTATCACTCCCTAATCAAATTTGCAGCATAAAAATAACACATGTTGCAATTACAGCATATCAACCTATTTTCATTTCAATGAAAAATAAGTCTATAATGCATAGGTGGCTGTGAAAAATAAAAGCCATGACAATTGTTTTTATTAATCACAGGTGTCAGAATACGTTTAAAATAGTTTTGGGTAGTTAAGGTTTTCAACATGGGTAGAGGAAAGGTTATTAGTGAGAAAATTCGGTTACTGATAATTAAATTTTTTAATTCTGGGAAATCAAACTCAGAAATTGCAACTTTGTTGGACTTATCGCGGTACAGTGTGAGAAATATTGTGAGAAGATATAACGTAACTGGTTCAGTTAATATTAAGCCATGATATGTGAAAAAAAGTAATATCACAAATGCCGACCGAAGAGCATTAAGAAGAATAATCGTAAAAGCAGGCGTGCCAATTATTTACAATTAAGTGCTCTGTGGAGTGACGCTGTTGGAAGGAGAATTTTGAGGTCTACAACTCATAGAGAGGCCCACAAACTGGGATTTAGCACCTGCAAGGTAAGTTTTCTTATAAAAAAAGTGAAGTAAAAACCCTAAAGTTGCACAACTTGTTTATAGGCCAAAGAAAAGCCACTATTAACTCCACTGCAAAAGAAAAATCGGCCTAGATGGGCTAAAGAACATAGACAATGGACACCGCAACAATGGTGTGCAATAAATGGAGTGATGAGGCCCGATTCGAAGTTTGTGTTGGTGACAGTCGCAGTAGAGTTATTCGCAAAAAAAATAAGCATTCCGTGTTGACTGTCTGAAGAGAAAAGTGAAATTTCCAGCATCGATTATGGTCTGGGGTAGTATGTCATCAAAGGGAGTAGGAAAACTTCATTTTATTGATGGAAATGTGGATACAAACAAATATTTGGCAATTTTAGAAGAATCTCTTTTACCAGTGATGGAAGAATGTTTGACATCCGGCCAAGATTTTGTGTTTCAGCAACATGGTGCAGCGCGCCATACCTCAAAAAAGGCTATAAAATGGATGGAAGAAAATAATGTACCACTTTTGAGATGGGTTTCTAGCAGTCCAGATCTGTCACCTGTTGAAACTTTGTGGCACGAGATGAAAAAGGTTCTACGACAACATCCTGCTCGTACAATCACCGAACTGAGACAAAAGCTTCAAGAAATATGGGATTGTGTTACACCAAATTTTTGACAAAACTTGGTTAACACTATGCCCCAAAGAATTTCAGCCGTAATAAAAAATAAAGGTGATGTTACCCAATGGTAATCTTTCAATTGTTGCTTTGTCAACTTCGCGCATTTATTCGCACATTGTTTATTTGTTCAGATGTTCTATTAGTTATAGGTCTAAGTGATTTGAAATATGTATTTTTTACGACTAGAGTGTATCTAAAATGTTTTTGAGAAAATAAATTATTTTAGAAGTAAATAGTTTCGTCATGTTTAGTTTATAAAGGGATATTTTGGTACAAATCTTGAAGTGGGCCAACTGAAGTGGGAAGGGGTTCGTACATAACATACTGCATACTAACTGGGCTAAGACTGTTTGAAAATAATCGTGTCTTCAGTTTGCCTGCTAACTTTTTAACCAGTTCAGTGTGAATCAGTATGAAATCATTTTTCTATAACGTTTAAGTCTCATCTTTGACCGTGTGAAAATTCCAGCTCTAAATATATGTATACACATAAGAGCATGAAGAAATTTTGAAAAAAATGCAACAGAATGTCATAGACTTTGCTTTAAAATGTGTATAATGAGGTATGTTTTTTGGATGCCGTCATACCATTTCAATTATCATACAGCTTGAGGAATGATTTAGGATTCACATCGGCGAGATGGAACGAACCTTGTAACATTTTTGCCGATGGACAGGTAATGATAGCTGGAAAACAAGTGCTTAGAGGCAAAAATTAGAAATGTTTAAAGGCTATATATCCGACCGATCGACTCCAATTCTGATGTGGTTATTTAGAAATATGAGACCTACAGATTTTGGGAAAGTATCTGCATGAGACTATCGTCGCATTAAGAAGTACCAAATACTGCATTTTGACTAGATTCTTGGCCATAACTTTTTTATTTATAATCTATTTTTTTATCATTTTGTAAGTATTTTAAGTACTTAAAAATCTTATTCGAAGGATTTTTTAGTTCATGCCAAAACTTTTGATTGATTCCAAGAAAAACGCGTCTTCTCATTCTTTGTTGTTGAATAAAAACCCATTTCATGCGCCCCTTTTTGAAATACCCCCCTCAACAACTTCCAGCGACAAAACCAAACATTACCATTATTTCGCAAACCAGGGGATTTTTCGTCCAATTAGACTATTAAGCCATGTAATGAAGATAAATTCAATTCGTCACACAAATAGGATACTCTCACTCTGTGTTAAATAAGCAATCAGTTGAAATATGATATAATTAAACCATTACAGGTGGTGGCCATGATTTTAAACACAAGGTAGATTGCGGATACTAACTTTTGATTTGTGTACCTGTAGCCTTAAAAATACGTATATATCTCACCAAAAGCAACCGGATTTCAACTGGTTTGCGACTTTAGTTGCGTTGCTTTTGCGCTGCCTCTGAAGCAACTGCCAAGCACTCTAGAATACAAATCCACTATTTTTAAAACTGGTGATCTGGCTGTCTGTCCAAATTGAGCGTGTTTGTACAGTGAATAGCACTGTATGTATACTTACTAATGAGAAGCCTCAATATATAAATATACTGTATTGGCTATTAAAAGTCTTGATTAACAGATACATTATTAAGTAACGTATTCCACAAATAAATTGCCTATTAGCTACAACAGTGCCAGCAATCGTCGAGGAACTATTCGCGTTGCCGTCTTTTCAGTGTATTCGCTTATTGGAAATCTAACAAAATGTCGCCTTCAGATTTTCAGTTTTCCTAATTTCTGGAACCTATTCCAACATACTAACGATGTTAAAATCTGAAAGTAATTCTCAATAAACAAACAAGACTAAAACGTCGGCATAGTTGAAAAAGAGCTATTGGTAGAGTCCAATATTCACCTTCCTATAAGGGCGCCAGAACCCAGCATAAGAACCAGCTTTAGAAAAAAATACGAATAACTAAAAACAGTTTGTCAATTTGTCTTAATTCTTCCACTCATTCTGAATCATGTAAGTCCTGATTTGTTTTTTGTATATTTCCTTTTTTATCTATATACATTTATTATTTGTTCATGTGCATGACATTAGAATACTTCAATAGCTTATAGCTTATAGCCAGTTGATATGATGATATAAAATCAAGCAATGCACATATGAGCATATGTCGCATAGACAATGATATTTTAAATGAACATATTCCAAATTACAGCCCAAGGTCTAAATTTTATGCACAATGTCTGACAACATCGCTATTTCCCGCCTGCATTTCTTTGCCTTGCATTTCCTCGCTGGGTAGATGATACCAACGATACTGCTTTTATTAAACTCCCACCGTCTTTTTACCGAGGAGCCTTTGGAAGTCTCAATACTAGCTTGGAGAAATGCCAGCGTCGCTGCAGCAGGCGGCATTACTAAAAAGCTTTACTAAAAAGTAAATTCTTGAGTTTGGCTATATGATAAATGAAGCATTCTTCAAGCAACTAGGACATTTTAGTTATACATTATTTATAATATTGACATTTGTCAGAAAATTTCTGACAAAAGAGTAAGCGAAAGGGTCATGTCATCCTGATCAACAGAGCGACAAATCTTGTTCATGAATTACGCAATGAGCAATGAAACAACTTTCTGGTGGGAATGCTTGACTCACGTATTCCTCACTGGAAAGTTGTGAAGTTGCTGAGAAACGGAAAGCGACAACAACTCCCGCACATCCACGGTCCTGTGGGCATATTATTTAGGACAAAGGAAAAGGTCGAGGTTTTTGCTGATGTCGTGGAAAGACTTCCAACTATGACCTTGATAATGACCTCGACGAGGAGCAACACATCGTAAGACGTGAAAGACTTGTGATAGTTCAACCAAGAGCAAAGGTCATACGGATTGCTCTAACTGACAATGCCGAATAGAAAAAGAACAAGCTCGCTTTGTAGATCATGTTGTAGAATCATAATATCTGCTATCCCTGAACTATTGAGTTCATACGTCGACGCGGCGCTAAGCGTGTGAGAAGAATAACTACAGATTATTTGTTGTAACCGTTATCTTCGATGTGAAATGCGTTTCCTCATTTTTTATTGGTATTGGTTTTGTTTTTTGATATTTGGTAATTGACTTCAAGCAGCCTTAGCACTTGTTTTTGTTGCATTACCGGATATCGTTGGGAAAATTACAAATGATTTACTCTAGAAGGTTCCGAAAACTGCAAACTTTCACTTGACATAATTTTAGATGTTTGAATTTTTGCACGCATCGACGTCGCTTTTCATCGTTTACGAAGAAAGCAGGCTTATTATCTGCACCATTTTGCTAGGCGCTAGGTAGGTCCTCACGTAAGTATAAGTGCTACTTCAAAACTGTGTTTCAAATATATTTACCAAATTTGACAGATGTGGAAGTCCCACTCGAACATTCGTTCTCAAAGTATGGAACTATCGACGACGCTACGGCTTATTGCGAATACGAGCCCCTTCCCACTTCAGTTGGCCCAACTATTGAAATCTTAGTTTATTTCTTATCAAACACAAATAATAAAAATGTAGCAGGGTGCTACAGGTTTAAAATATTAACAATGAATATTTTGATAATACATAGTAGAAAACACCAACTTTATCACTCCCTAATCAAATTTGCAGCATAAAATTAACACATGTTGCAATTACAGCATATCAACCTATTTTCATTTCAATGCAAAATAAGTCTATAACGCATAGGTGGCTGTGAAAAATAAAAGCCATGACCATTGTTTTTATTAATCACAGCTGTCAGAATACGTTTAAACTAGTTTTGTGTAGTTAAGGTTTTCAAAATGGGTAGAGGAAAGGTTATTAGTGAGAAAATTCGGTTACTGATAATTAAATTTTTTAATTCTGGGAAATCAAACTCAGAAATTGCAACTGTTAGACTTATCGCGGTACAGTGTGAGAAACATTGTTAGAAGATATAACGTAACTGAAAAAGTGAAGTAAATACCCTAAAGTTGCACAACTTGTTTATAGGCCAAAGAAAAGTCACTATTAACTCCACTGCAAAAGAAAAATCGGCTTAGATGGGCTAAAGAACATAGACAATGGACACCTCAACAATGGTGTGCAATACAATGGAGTGATGAGGCCCGATTCGAAGTTTGTGTTGGTGACAGTCGCAGTAGAGTTATTCGCAAAAAAAATGAAGCATTCCATGTAGACTGTCTGGGGCAGTATGTCATCAAAAGGAGTAGGAAAACTTCATTTTATTGATGGAAATGTGGATACAAACAAATATTTGGCAATTTTAGAAGAATTGCTTTTACCACTGATGGAAGAATGTTTGACATCCGGCCAAGATTTTGTGTTTCAGCAAGATGGTGCAGCGTGCCATACCTCAAAAAAGAATATAAAATGGATGGAAGAAAATAATGTACCACTTTTGAAATGGGTGTCTAGCAGTCCAGATCTATCACCTATTGAAACTTTGTGGCACGAGATGAAAAAGGTTCTACGACAACATCCTGCTCGTACAATCACCGAACTGAAACAAAAGCTTCAAGAAATATGGGATTGTTTTACACCAAATTTTTGCCAAAACTTGGTTAACACTATGCTCCAAAGAATTTCAGCCGTAATAAAAAATAAAGGTGATGTTACCCAATGGTAATCTTTCAATTGTTGCTTTGTTAACTTCGCGCATTTATTCGCACATTGTTTATTTGTTCAGATTATCTATTAGTTATAGGTCTAAGTGATTTCAAATATGTATTTTTTACGACTAGAGTGTATCTAAAATGTTTTCGAGATAATAAATTGTTTTAGAAGTAAATAGTTTCGTCATGTTTAGTTTATAAAGGCATATTGTGGTACAAATCTTGAAATGGGCTAACTGAAGTGGGAAGGGGCTTATATATACTGGTGGTAAAAAAAGGGCCCCATTATTCTAAAATATCCTGCTGACTTTAGTATCTGAGGTAAAAATGTGCCGTTTTGCTCAGAGATAACCTTGCCTCCTACCGGATGTATCGTGGCTATACATGGTGTTTCCAAAGCATGGGGTGAAAATTCAATTGACTTTTCTAAGACGATCTCCGACAATTGAGAAGTTTCCTATAGTCGAATATACTGTTATATATGTTATAATTGCATATAATACCATAAGTGGTAACATCGAAAAATCAGCAGCAATCAAATCTACCTCCGTTCTCGGTTTAGGAATTAGGTCTTCCTCCATCACACTAGGCACATCCACTAATAATAATTATTATTAAATTTAAATTTAATGTTGTTTACTTACATCAAATCAACTAAATTGGATACACGACAGTACAATGATGATATTTCCGAAAGAGGCAAATCATCGTCTCTATTCATTACCTAATCTGCCTAAACTTTTTATAAATCTTCTGTGGTTTGGCACAAGAAAAACATATTTTTCGGGACTGATATGCTTTGTTTGTACTCCTAGGTACATTTAATTTTTTACCCATTTGTATCGTAAATCGTAAATACAGAGCAGGGTAACGTTTGTAAAATAGCGCGAAGCGTGCGCGGCGAGAGCATCGCTTTGTGGTGGCGATGGTGGCTTGTGTAATGTGACGTCATCACTCAGTCACACAGTCCAGCAAGACGCTTCTTCAAATGAGAAACCTCTGAATAGCGCGCCTTTGTCATTTTTCAAGATATTCAAAAACATGTTTTGGCGTTGTACATTTTAGGTCTGTTATAACAAATATTTTTATTTATTTTATTTTTGACATTTTATTAACAAAACATATTTGTAAATCTCGTTAATATATAGAATCCGGTAGCGTGATGGTTAAAAGTGAGCTATAGTCGTAGGGTTCAGCATAAGCCCTTCTATGCTTAGGAAACACCTCGTACCGTCAAATATGTTTATACGGGATATTTCCTTAAACAAAACCATTGCACTAGCAAATACCTAGTATTTCAATTTGTATCATTATGAGAAAGTGATTTCAGCATTGTGAAAAATGTAAAAGCGGTTACGCAATCTATATTCGGTATGGTTTGTAATTCTCCATGTATACCGTTTAATTTAATGAACATTCCCCGCGAAATGCACTAGTTAGATAAACCTGCAACTGCTGTACCAAAATTGCTTGGTTAGAGAGGTGAAACACCATGACTGTGGCTGGGAATGTTAGGTTGGGATCACATGTACATCGGGATGTCGGCAGGTTATACCTCGATTATTGGTATATTTAGGGAGTGGTACCGAAGCCTGCCATTTTTTTGAATAGAATGCTAAATATTATTGTATCATGGTGAAGAAAACTGCCTTGCTAACACTGAATCGTAGACACTCTTAGGCGCATCCCACCCCCAGCTCTTCAATTGTCATAAAGGCATTTGCTTTCCGATGCGCTGTTAAGCGTGCGGCTGCTGCCAAAACCTCCCACCCCCAGCCCCTACTCTCCAATTCCTAATTGTCGAGAAGAACATATTCCATTGTTTTGTATGCATACAGCTTGGGACATTCGGATACGATAAGTTTGAACAATGGTCAAGAGTTATTTTGTCATCCATATTTAACTGTCAAAATTCAATGTTTTGAAAACGGACCAGTCGAATTGGATTCAGGTTTTATACGGTCATGAATGAATAAAAAAAACTGTATCCGGTAACCCATCCCTATACACCATTACCAGAACGCACTTATAGGGCTAATGCGATATTTTTGTTTTTGCTTTGATTATAAAGGATTCGATGCAGAATATTCCGTATGTAACAGCCTTGTAACTAGAACAATGAGACACCTTCCTAACGTCGACGCTTAGGCAACCGGAGCTACGCCGC